TGATAGGTTAAAATATAGTGATACGAAAAACTTTTAAAAAAAATTTTTTACAAAAACTTTATTGAGAATTTCATACATGCATATAAGGTGTTTTGATCAAATTGAAGCCCACTCCCTCCCCTCCAACATTCCCCCCTCTGAAGAGGTAACTCTAAAATCTTTTCAGGATTAGATACAAGCTCCCAAATACTTTTGACATTTTTGGCCTTTGGAACAGAGTATGTTGCTAACAGGACCCAAGGACCTTTTGACTTTAGCCAAGAAACTGGCTATATTTCTTTGGGTTTTTTTTTTACCCTAACTGCCTAGCGAATTCCTACCTCCTATTCTTATCATGCCATCCTCTGAAGGGGTTACCAAATTGCCAATTGGGAATTAGGGACACAGATCACTCTGGCTTCTTCCATGCTGAACAGGAATGCAGGGTGAAGCAGTTGGAGTACCCCTCTAGTGGGTCTACCTAAAAGACTCCCAAATTGCATAACTCTTGTCTCTAAGGGGAGAAGAAAGGCCTTGAATCATGAATAGGAGATGTGAAGGAGAAGTAAAGGCAAGAGTAATTAGCATTACAAGTTCTAGACAGGAAACTAGAAAATAGTCAGAACAGGGCAATTTGTAAATGTTCATATGAGAGTCCATTGGAGTTTCTTGACAAGGGCTTCCAAAAGCATCCCTCTATTGGGTTCTTCCTCATTTTTCTTTTGTCTTCCAAGGCTGGACTTAGTTGGCTGGGAAGAGTGGCTGGATACTCAGGTGAGGGTCCAGTGACTCTGCTTGGCATTCCTTTAATGAATGAGCACAACTGTCAACAAGCCCAATTGTGACTATGTTTAGCGATCAGGCTCAGCCGAAGTTATGATGATTATAGTTACTTCATGCAGAAGGGACTGCTGTATAGCATCATCTTATTAAAAGGACCACCACGTGGAGGCAGGATCCAGGGCTGTCAGGCTGCCCCTGGGTTCTCAGGCCCTCTGGTAGTTGGAGGCCAGAGGGAGGCCAGAACCCTGCACTCTCTGGAGGTCTGCTGAGCTCCGAGCAGCTATCCCAATGGAGCAGGTCCGAACCCACCCTCTCAGGCTGTCTGCTAGGATCCCTCTTATGTTCTTTAAGACCTTTCAAAGATACATAGGCTTTTCTTTTTCTTTTTTTAAAATATTTTATTTGTTATCTTTATTTTATGTGTATGAGTGTATTGCCTGCATGTAGGTAAGTGCACCCGTGTCCTGCAGTGCCCATGGAGGACAGAAGAGGCTGTCGGATCCCCTGGAACTGGAGTTACTGACAGTTGTTAGCTGCTGTGTGGGTGCTGGGATTTGAACCCGGGTCTTCTGCAAGAACAGCCAGTGTTCTTAACCACTCCAGCCCCCTCTCCAGCCCCCATCTTTTCTTCTTTTAAAATATTTTTTTTTTTCAGTCTTTTTGAGACAGGGTCTCCCTGTAGCCCCAGCTGTCCTGGAACTCACTATGTAGACCAGGCTGGCCTTGAACTCACAGAGATCCTCCTGCCTCTGCCTCCCAAGTGCTGGGATTAAAGGTGTGCGCCACCACGTCCGCTATCTATTATTTTTATTTTATGTATACAAGTAGAAGAGGGCTTCAGATCCCCTGGAACTGGAGTTATGGATAATTGTTAGCGGCCGTGTGGGTGCTGAGAATTGAACCCAGGTCCTCTGCAAGAGCAGTTAGTGCTCTTAATCATTGAGCCATCTCCCCAGCCCCCATAGACTTTTCTTTATGCTTGTATTTTGGTTGTTTCAAGTAGGAGAGATGCACTATTTTTTTTTTTTTTCATTTGTCTTTTTGAGTCAGGGTCTTCCTGTAGCCCCAGCTGACCTGGAATTCAGTATGTAGACGAGGCTGGCCTCCATCTCATAGATCTGCCTCTGCCCTAGTGCTGGGATTAAAGGTGTGTACCACCATGCTCAGAAAGATGCACTATTTTTATTCCAATAATGCCAGTCCTAATTTTTAAAACTACATTTATTTTATTTAGGTGTGTGTGTGTATGTGTGTGTGTATGATGGGTACATGCGTGCCATGGTGGGTGTGTGGAAGCCAGAGGCCAGAGTTATTTTTCTCTTCCTGTCATGTGGGTCCCAGGGATTAAACTCAGGTCATCAGACTTGTGGTAGGTGCCTTTACCCACTGAGCCATCTTGCTGGCCTCAATCCTAAATTTTTAAAATTAAAGTTGTTGATATGTTAGGGAGCACTTTATATGCATGATATTTTGTTAAGTACTTTACATGTTATAACGTTTTTTTAAGTAAACAGGTACATTTAATAACAATCCTGTGAGTTATACTTTTGTTCTCATTGTACTGATGAGGAATTTAAAAACAAGCTTAAATAACATGCAGGGGCAGGCATTTGATAAATAGCAGAACTGAGTCTCAAGCCCAGGCATTCTAACTTTTGGAGCTTATATCCTTAGCTATTATATTTACTACTGTTTGCTTTGTGATAAAAAGCATTATAAGAAAGCCTGTCTGCAGGGCTGAAGAGATGGCTCACAGTTAAGAGCACTCACTGGCTATTCTTCCAGAGGACCCAGGTTCATTTCCCAGCACCCATATCCTGGCTAACATCTGTACTTGACTGTAGTTCCAGTGCTCCAATGCCCTCTTCTGGCCTTTGCAGGCACCAGGCACACAATATAAATAAAATAAAAAATTTATGTGTATGAGTGTTTTGCCTGCATGTTTGTAAGTGTACCCGTGTTATGCAATACTTGTGGAGGTCAGAAAAGGGCATTGGATCCCCTGGAACTGGAGTTATAGACGGTTGTTAGCCTCCATGTGGGTGCTGGGAACTGAACTCTTGTCCTTTGCAAGAGCAGCCAGTGCTCTTAACCGCTGAACCATCTCTCCAGTCCCTTGAGACTTGAGTTTTTTCATGACTCTCTGATACTGTGACTGAGATATATTTTAAGTCTGATTTGAAATATAGCATTACCAGGAAGCTCATCTTTGTTTATTTGTATTTTGATACAGGGTTTCACTATGTATCCCTAGCTGACCTGGAACTTGCTGTGTAGACCAGGCTGGCCTCCAATTCACAGAGATCCACTTATTTCTGCCTCCTTTAGTCCAAGTGCTGGGGTTAAAGACCTATGCCATCCTTAGCTTTTTGTCTGGACATGAAATAGAATGATTTGGGGGGAATTATTGGGCCATTCATTCCTGGTTGTTTTAGAAGTGTCATCTGTAAAGCCAGTGGAAATATATAGTGACTGGGACAGAGTAGGCACCCCCAATTTCTGCATCTATATTTGTATGTGTATAGCGTATATGGAATTAGTTATGGCCAAGTATAGCTTCTAGCTCCTTTTTTCTCTTTTTGAGACGGGGTCTCCCTGTAGTTCCAGCTGGCCTGGAACTATGTAGACCAGGCTAGCCTTGAACTCACAGAGATCTGCCTGCCTCAGCCTCCTGAGTACTAGGATCAGAGGTGTGTGCCACCATGCCTGGTCCAAGTATAGCTTCTTATATCTCTATCTCACATTTCTTACTGTCTTTAAGTTTAGATCAGAAGTATTCTAAGGACCCCAGGAGACCTCTGGGAGCCCCCCTCCCTGGTTTTTTGAGTCAGACTCACTTTATAGCTCAGGCCAACTTCAAACTCTTGATCTTCCTGCCTAGTCCTAGTGCTGGGATTTTGAGGCATGTACCAGTAGACCTAGCTTCTAGGAGTCTTTTTTTTTTTTTTTTTTCCAGTCTTTTTGAGATAGAGTCTCCCTATATATAGCCCCAGCTGGCCTGGAACTTGCTTTGTAGACCAGGTTGGCCTTGAACTTAGAGATCTGTCTGCCTTCCAGTGCTGGGACTAAAGGTGTGCGCCATCACGCCCGGCTCTACTTTTGGGATTCTTTAAAGAAGTATGTAGGGTCAAAACTGTTTTATGATACTGATTTTTCATTTTCAGTCCCTGGTAAGAATGCAGTGGAGCTTTTTAGAGCCTGCATGGCATGCTGTCTCAATAGGTTGACAGTAGAAGGAAATTTGAAATTTCAGCTTTTTGTTAAACAACTGCTAAGAATTTTACAAAAACAGCTGGGCATGGTGGCTTATGCCTATAATCCTAGCACTTGGGAGGTGGAGGCAGGAGGATCAGGCATTCAGAGACATCCTTAGCTACATAGTAAGTTCTAGGCCAGCCTTCGCTACATGAGACCTTGTCTCAAAAACCAGGAAAATAATTCACAAAAATGTAAAGCAACTAGTATCATTTTTCTCACTAAACTTTATTTTTGCAAACATTATGTTATGTATGTATATTATGTTAATATGCAGTGAATATATTGTTATTTTAAGATGAATAAGTAAATCTGCAGAAATTTAAATTTCTAATTCAGTCAATATTAATGAATACGGTCTACATAAACAGAAGTACTTTGTGGCCTTTAAGACCCCAAACTTTGAAAACCACTTGTGTAGACTAGTTGTATGACTTGTATGACATTAAAGCAGATCTTGGGCTGGCTGCATGGCTTAGGAAGTAAGAGTGCTTACTATGCAAACATGAGGATCTGAGTTTGAATCTCCCATGCCAAAAGCTGGGTGTCACTGTGTGTGCCTGTAACCCCAGTGCTGGAAGTGGAGACACAGATCCAGATAGCTTGCTAAAATAGGTAGAGAGCAGTAGAGGAAGACACCTAGCATCCTCCTCTGACCACTGTGCACCTGTACTCTGACAACACACAACTCTCTCTGTCTCTCTCTTTGCTTGATCTAGAATAAAAACCAAGAAGAGGCTGGGTGTGGTGATGCATGCCTTTAATCCCAGCAGTCAGGAAGCAGAGGCAGGCAGATCTCGGGAGATCAAGGCCATCCTGGTTTATATAAGAGTTCTAGATCAGTCCAGTCTACATAATGAGACCTTGTCTCAAAACAAAATGAAAGGAAAAATAAAAATAAAAAAAAACAGGAGAAAATCGAGAACTTAAAAAATAAGTGAGTTTTTATAACTTACCATGTATTTTCTGAATTGTGTAAGCAGGAGACTGGAGCCCACTGAGCGACCTCTTCAGATTGTTTACGATTACTTATCCCGGCTGGGCTTCGAAGATCCCGTGCGCATACAGGAGGAAGCCACAAATCCTGACCTCAGCTGTATGATTCGATTTTATGGTGGTAAGAATTTGTTAGTAGCTTTGTAAATATGTTAACTACCTTTAAGGTGATTATTTGAGTCTTTACCTTCTTATTAGATGTATTTGATATCAAACTGTTACTAAGTCACTTAACAAATGTAGCTAAAAACAAGTACAACAAAAGTAAGGGAGTAAAGAACATTTTAAAATATTAATAAAATGTCTTCCTTTTTGATTTTTGATTTTATTTATTTTTTATCTTTTTGAGACAGGGTCTCCCTGTAGTCCAGCTGACCTGGAACTTGCTATGTAGACCAGGCTGGCCTTGAGCTCACAGAGATCTGCCTGCCTCTGCCAAGATTTATTTCTTCTTTCTTCTCCCCCTCTCTCTCTCTCTCTCTCTCTCTTTCTCTCTCTCTCTCTCTCTCTCTCGTCTGTGTGTGTGTGTGTGTGTGTGTGTGTGTGTGTGTGTGTATATGCTTATGGATTACTCATTCACCCATAGTCACCTGCTACACTGGAGGACAGGGCCTCTAACACTTTTTTTTTTTAAGTTTAGTGTGAGGGAAGAGAGGGTATTAAAGGTTCTGTCATGGTTTGTTGAGCCTTTTCTGGATTATTTTCAGAAAATGTAAACATTGCTTCCTAAACACATTGAATCCAAAATTACAAGCATGAATTGTTTCCTTGGTTAGTTTTTCAGGTTACATTTAAGTTCCTGGTGATGACAATATTAAGTGATATCACATCTGTATTCTCATTGTTAGTTGAAATGTTGGGCAAATTTTTCACATTTGTTAAAGAAAATAATTTAATTAAAATTCAGTAGTCCTGCTGGGTGTGAATCCATCCCAGCACTCAGGAGGCAGAGACAGAAGCAGGTGAATCTCGGTGAGTTTGAGGCCAGCCTGGTCTATATAGCAAGTTCTAGGCCACCTAGGGCTACATAGTGAGACCCTGTCTTCTAAAAACCTCCAAACCAGTAGTCTCTTCAACAAGACATTGACATGCCATTTTGAAATTGTACAGTTATTTGTCTTTAAGGTATAGCACCTATTACTCATGCAACAGAATACTAGAATAGGTATTGTTTTTCCCTCTACAAATGGAAGTCAAGTAATGCTCCTTTCAGTTAAGCAAAAAGGAAAGGACAAAAATGAGTAAGTAGTGCATTACTTTGAATGAAAGAAAGTCAGGAGAGTAATACATACAGTAATAACACATAAATGTTCTTGAGAGAAGTGAGAATGAGTGAATGGGTGATTAACTGCCAGAAAAGGGAAATGTAAATAAAACCCTTTGGTGGTTTATGGAGGGAGAATAGTTGATAGGTTCAAGTTAAATCTGAGAAAATTTAGGACTGACTTGAGGAATTGAACCCATTTGTTACTATAAAATTTGTTTTAAAAACCCCAGGTTGACAGCTGGGACAATGGCTCAGAGGTTAAGTGTACATACTGCTCTTGCAGAGAGCCCTGAGTTCAGTTCCCAGCACCCACAAAAGGCAGCTCACAACCACCTGTAACTCCTTCTACAGGGACACCATTTTCTGGCCTCTGGGACCTACACTCACTTGTACATACTTATCATTAAAAAAAAAAATCTTTTTTAAAAAAAGAATTGAGTCATTAAACACAGCATGCATTGCAGAAGGGGAAGGGAAGTGGGTCCACTCTTGAAGAGAGGAGTATCAGAGTGTGGGCTTCATCTTGAGACCTTCAAGAAGAGTGCTTCCCTCTTATTTCTCTCAGTTCCTGAATCCAGAGACAGCCAGAGATAACAGAAGGAAACAGAGTGATGATGCCTGTGCCCAGCTTTCATTCTCCTTTTTATTCATCTGGGACTCTAACTCATGGACTGGGGTCACCACTTTTAGGATGGGTCTTCCCTCTGCAGACATTGTACACATAAGTGCACTTACATACACGCAGGCGAAACACTCATACAAACAAATAAATAGATAAACAAATAAATATTTAAGAAAAAACAAGGTGGGCAGGGTGGCCCATGACTATAATCCCAGCACTTGTCGGGGTAGAGGCAGGAAGATCAGGAGATTAAAGTCATTCTTGGCTACATTAAAGTTCAAGGCCAGCCTGGGGTACATGAAAGCCTGTTTCATATAAAACTAAATAAAAGAAATTTCAAAACATGTAGATCTTTCTTAGAGTTGGGTGGCAGAGTTTGCCTATCCAGATCTTTACAGAGGTGTAGATGGCCTGTGACTGCCAGCTCTGCTTCATCTCCCAGCCTGTCTCAAGGTCTTTGCATATGTGACCACATTTTCTTCAACATGAGTAGAATTCATGAGTGCTGCTTCCATACCTCAGAATCCACAGGGCTGTCTCTGTGCTTTGTTCTTTTCTCAGTGCTGTTCTCCTCTTAGGGCTAGGAAGACAATAATCAGCAGTTTTTGAAGTCAGGTATTGAAAGTGAAAGATCCATTGTCACCCTGAGTTTGTGAATTAAGAGTATTGACCTCTGGCTACCTAGAATGCTTACCTGGACAGAATTAAATATTGTGTTTGAGCTATTATATCCTGCTTGTTATAATAGTTTAACCTATGATTTATAAGGGATGTGTACATCACAAATGGCAAAAATATAAAGAGAGCAAAGAAGTGACTGTTATGGAAGTAGGGGAGGCTGATTCTAGGGTGTAGGGAGAAGGTCTGTATACATTTTAAATTTTGATTAAATGTTCCTAAGGTATACAGATAGGTTATACTAGTAGCCACTTTGTTGAGTAGGCTTTGGGAGTGCTCATCTCCCTACACCGCTGCCAATGTCAAGTATCATTGTTAAAAACTAATCTTTTCACAAAATTGCAAAAAATACTGTTTCAGGTTAATTTGCATATTTGAAACTTCTTTCTTAAAATGTAGGGGATACTAGGCCTGGAGAGATGGCTCAGTAGTTAAGTGCATATACTGCTTTTGCAGAAGATGCTAGTTGGGTTCCAGCATTCACAAGGGGCATCTCAAACAGCTGCCTGTAACTCCAGCACCAGGGGAATCTGATACCCTCTTCTGGCCTCTGTGGGTACCTGCTCTCATGGGCACATATACATAAACATAATTAAAGCATAATAAAAGCCAGGCGTGGTGGCACACGCCTTTAATCCCAGCACTTGGAAGGCAGAGGCAGGTGGATCTCTAAGTTCAGGGCCAGCCTGGTCTAGATAATAAGTAATGACTTCCAGGCCAGCTCAGCCTTGTGTGTTTTAATTTTTATTGATTATTTGTGTGCGTGTGTGTGCTTGTATGTGTGTGCTTGTGTGTATATGTGTTTGCATGAGTATGGATACATAGTGCATTCATGTGAAAGTGGAGGTTAGAGAACAATTTTGGGGAGTTGGTTTTCTCTTTCTTCCATTGTGGATTTTGGGGATTGAACTTAGGTTGTGATACCTGCTGAGTCATCTTGCCACCCTGATGCTCCCCTCAGTTCTGTGTTTGGTACTTGTCTGTTTCTCATAGTATTTTTACCAAGAGCTTTGCATCTCTTCTGTCTCAGTGTGCTGGTTTGCTCACTGTATCTCAGGCATATGAGCATTTCTGATGGAAAGGAAGGTGCTTGAAGAAAGAAGCTGGTGCATGCCTGCTACTTCCATGATGGGAATGGTTGATTGAAACATCACCACATAAAAATAAGCTTTTCCTTGTGAGGACCAGAGAGATGGAGGACTGTATTCAGAAGTAGAGAACTCTTTTATTTCTTACTGTCTTCATTCTAAAATAGACATATCAATAATGGCTCTCACTTTTCTCTTTGTACCCCACATTATGCTTGGTACTTTATGTTTTTTACAAGACCACCCTTGAAGGTGGGTTAATATCCAAGCCAAGGGAGCAGCAAAACTTGGACTCAGGCTCATGTCTGAACTCCAAGTCCGTGATTTTAACCCTTCACCATGTATGTGAAAGATGGCTGTTGGAAGAATAGTTAATGACATTTGAAGTACAGTCTTAGTTTATAGACCAGAATTCACAAGTATTTCTACTGTGTAAGTGCACTGATGGGAAAGGCTGAGAGTTTGGCTTGTAAAACCCATATTGCTTCCTTACTTCCATCCATAAATAGAGTTGCTGAATGTTGGCACATTATTTTTTTCCCCCTTCCAGTATTATGCTACTTTAATGGTAGATTCTGAAGTACTGTTTTCTTTTCAGAAAAACCATGCCAGATGGATCATCTGGATCGAATCCTTCTGTCTGGCATCTATAATGTACGCAAGGGAAAGACCCAGCTGCACAAGTGGGCTGAACGCCTAGTTGTTCTCTGTGGTACCTGCCTTATTGTTTCCTCAGTGAAGGATTGTCAAACTGGAAAGATGCACATTTTACCTCTGGTTGGGGGAAAGGTAAGACTCACAAACTTGAAATATTTATTTGGACATTGAGAAAATTAAGGGTGGGACATGGCTTCACTGATAAGGACAACCTAAATTTAATCCCCAGAACCCGTGTGAGAAAAACAGATGTGGCACATGCTTATAATCTTCAGTGGTGGGGAGGCAATAGCAGGTGAACCCCTGGACTTGCTGCCCTACCAAGCCTAATTGTCAAGCTTCAGGCCAGCGAGAGACCGAATCTTACCAAACAAGGAGGATTGGTCCTGGGAAATGACACCCGAAGTTGTCCTCTGGCCTCCACACACAGACGTGTGCATGCACACTTGCATACATATGTACCTGCAGACATAGGAACACACACAAACACACAAAAAGAAAGAAACAAAAAAACAAAGACTAGGACTGTAGCTCAGTGATAGAATGCTTATCTAGTATCAGTGTGTTCCTGGGTCTAGTCCCCAGCATTAAGGGGGGTGAGGAAAGAGAAAGAATATCCTATATGGTTTTCATACCTTTTCAGAGAAGCCAACAGGAGCATCATTAAAGATTGTATGAGAGGGGGCTGGAGAGATGACTCAGCAGTTAAGAGCACTGGCTGCTCCTTCAAAGGACCAGGGTTTGGTTCCCAGCACCCACATGGTGACTAGCAACCATCTGTAACTCCAGTTCCAGGGAACCCAACACACCCCTCTGACTTCTATGGGCATTGCATGATGTGGGTGCACTTAATATACAGTCATACATACAAAATAATAGTAATAATAAAAGATTGTATCAGAGACTCTCTGGGAGGTTCTGGGGCTTTCCGTTCCCAGGTGCTGCTGTAGAGCTGTCTGTTGAAGATACTCTGCTTCCACTGCTTGGGACTAGATGCTATTGCTGGTAACACCAAGAGGTGTTACAGGATGCTACCTAGAAGCTGCCTTTGGGAACTAGAAGTAGCTGCCAGTATCCTACACCAAAATAGATGATTCTTTCAAGTTTCTTCTTTTTGCCATTAGATTAAAATACAGAGTCTAATTTGCAATTAGATTAAAATTGGTTATAAACCTCAATTCAGTGGCCAGGGAGGCATGACATTTCTCATCTGTTCTAGAAAAGTTCATTTGCTAGTTAGACAAACAGAATGCCAGATGATCATAAATAGATAGGTTGTAGGAAGCTATGTATCATTTTATTTCTTCTGTTTTGAAGCTTGAACAGCATAACCAGCATGAGACAAAATGACCTTGGGAAGTCATACTCAGAAATATGCAATTGTCTAAATCCGTAGCAAGATAGTTAAAATACATGTGTAGGGCTGGAGAGATGGCTCAGCGGTTAAGAACACTGGCTGTTCTTGCATAAGACCCGGGGTCAAATCCCAGCACCCACATAGCAACTAACAACTTCCTTAACTCAGTTCCAGGGGATCCAACAGCCTCTTCTGTCTTCTGCGGGCGTTGCACATCACTGGTACACTTACCTATATGCAGGCAATACATACATACATACATACACACACATAATATAATAAATAAATAAAATATTAAAAAATACATGTATAAAAAGGCAAATATGTGGGCTGGTGAGGTGATTGAGTGGATAAAGGTGCTTGCTGCCAAGTCTGACAACCTGAGTTTGATCCTCAGGTCCCAGATGGAGGAAGAAGAGAACTAACTCCTAAAAGTTGTCTTCTAGCCTCTACGCGTGTACTTCATCACATACGTGTTGCCCCACTCCCAATAAATACATGTATTTAAAAAAGACATACATAGGGCCAGGCGTGGTGGCATACGTCTTTAATCCCAGCAGAGGCAGGCGGATCTCTCTGAGTTCAAGGCCAGCCTGGCCTACATAGTGAGTTCCAGGCCAGTTGAGACTACTGGGAGACCCTGTCTCAAAAAGACCAAAAAAGACAAATAAGTGTAAAGGTGTAACTAGACTTCAGAAGTGTAGAGCAGCAAGAGCTCTTAACCTCTGAGCCATCTCTCCAACCCCCATTGAAAAGAGTTCAAAGATCATTCTAGAATATTACCTGTTCGTTTCAATAAGATTCTTTGCTTTGGCATAAGCTCATTCAGTTGCAGTGGTTTATTACTAATGAAAAACGAGACCAAGCATGGTGATGCACACCTTTAGTTCCAGCACATGGGACGCAGAAGCAGGTGGATGTCTGAGTTCAAGGCCAGCCTGGTCTACGTAGTGAGTTCCAGGCCACCTCGGGCTACAGGGAGACCCTGTCTCAAAAAAAGAAAAAAAGAAAAATGATTATGTTGTGTCACCATTGAATGTTTTGAAAATTATTTAGTTTTAATGAATCTTTTCAATGTGATTCTTTTGTGCTCAAGAGTATTTTGTGTTTCTGCCACTTGGCTCTATCTTTAGTTGGCACTAGAAATGTATTGATTTACAAGTATAACTTGTAAATTTGTAGCTGATCTGCCCAGATTCACTAGTAATGACATCCAAAGTAAGATGCCAAAGTCATAAGTGTTTCCATGAATATAAAAAGATATCTTTTTCAAATCTATTGAGTTGCTGCAGTTTAGGGGAAGTGTCTTCTTTGTTTGATTATTTTGCTTTGGAGGTACGGTATCTGTGACCTCAAATCCTGGGTGCTGGGGTTGCAGGTTTGTGCCTCCCTCCCAGCTTTCATGGTAGTTTGATTTCCCTCTCCATGTCTCCCATCATTCATGTGCTTATTGACCGTTTGTGCATGTTCTTTGGAGAAATGTCTGCTCAGATCCTTTGTCTTTGTAAGAAATTTGCCTTGTTATTGCCTTCTGCTTTTTGATGGTCGTATTTCTGTTTAGTGCTTCTGATTTTTCCTCCTCTTTAGATAGAAGAAGTGAAGCGCCGGCAACACTCGCTTGCATTCAGCTCAGCTGGAGCCCAAGCTCAGACCTATCATGTCAGCTTTGAGACTTTGGCCGAGTACCAGAGATGGCAACGACAAGCGTCTAAGGTGATGGATGGTCAGAGGACCTGGCAGGAGATAAGGGAGCAGCAGCTAGTCACCATTCTCAATGTCATATTTGGTCTTTCTTAGCCCAGAATGAATAAAATCTGGAATTTCACTGGGGTTTTAAGTCATTTATATTTTCATAGTAGAAAATGGTGTCAGTGTTTTCAAGTACATTTACCTCTATAGCATCTCTGAGTTAGGCCTTAGAAAGAATTGAGACACGAGATTTACATGGCTTTCTCTCTGCCACAGTAGTCACTGATTGATGTATCCCCTATGTTGTGGTCCAGTGCTTCCTGGGCTGTACATATTTAGAACAGCCATGATGAACCACTTCATATGTGAACTTACTGATCAGACAGTGACTTTTGTTTCTGTTGCAAATCACTGGTATGTTGAGGATAATTAACCTTTCAGCATAATTTCTGCTTTTCAGCCATTGGAGATGAACTACTAGTAATGTATATTCCAAATTTTCTTGTTCTTTTAGCTTTCTTTACAGAGTTTGGCAGAGAAGATTGTCATACTATAATGACAAAAATGAATGATTTTTCTATTGTAGTTTTTAGACTCATTTTCACAGGTCATATTTTGTTGGTGTGCTATTACAGATAGAAAGCTTGATTTTAGTTTTATAGGATTTTTTTTTGTTGTTATATTGTTTTGACTATAAGTCTGTTCTAAAAAAAACTGACTTCAATTTTAAATATGTATTCTGTTCTCCTTAAATGAGAAGTTAATGTTTCTTTTCTTTTTTTTTTTCTGTCTTTTTGAGGCCTGGCACTCTCTGTGTAGACCAGGTTGTCCTGGCCTCCATCTCACAGATATCTGCCTGCCTCTGCCTCCTGAATGCTGGGACTAAAGGTGTGTGCTACACCTGGCTAGAATTTCGTTTTTTTTTTTTTGTTTTTGAGATAGACTGTCCTCAGACTCCCTGTGTAACCAAGGTTGACCTTGAATTTCTGATTCTCCTGCCTCCATTTTGCAAGTGCTAGAATTATAGGCATGTATCATCATGTGCGTTTGTTTTTTAAGCAACTTATGGTGTTAGGAGAAAGTAAATATCAACTGGTTTTTATAAATGATAATAGAATCTTTTCCTTTTTTTCTTTTCCTTTCCTAGTTTTTAGTCAGTGCATTTTTGTGTAAATGCCACTCTGGCCTGTGCTAGGGAAAAGCCTCCAGTATTAGCTCAAAAGGCTCTTCTCTTTTACCTTGCTTAGGTGGTGTCACAGCGAATCAGTACCGTGGATCTCTCGTGTTATAGCCTTGAGGAGGTTCCTGAACATCTCTTCTACAGTCAAGACATCACCTACCTCAACTTGCGACACAACTTCATGCAATTAGAAAGACCAGGGGGCCTCGACACACTCTACAAGTATGTGGAGAATAGGTTCCAGACCAGTATGTTGAAACCAAATTATAATCAGTTCTTAGTGGTTCACACTTTATAAGTGAACAAGCTTACTGTAGTAATCCATTTCTCATTTCTGTAACAAAATATCTTAGACTGGGTAGTATATAAAGATGGGAGGTTTATGTCAAAATCAGCTGGTTCTGTCAGTTCAGCTTTTGGTAAAGGCCCCTTTCCTTGTAGCATATGGCAGATGCTATGGTGGGAACCCAGGTGAGAGGGAGATATGGAATGGCAAGACAGGAAGCCAGAGATCTCAGGGGTCAGGCTTATTCTTTTGTAGCAGCCCATTCTCTTGGGAACTAACTCACTGTACTCCCTTTCCAGGCAGCATGTCCAGTGACTTAATTATTCCACCAGGCTTTACTTTTATTTATTTAGTTTGCAGCATTAGGGATTGAACCCAGGAACCTGTGTGTGCTAGGCAAGTGCTCTGCCATTGAGCTATACTCCCAGCCCAACCTCTCATAGTCTGCATTTCTCAGTCCTACTGTGCTGGGACCAAGCTTCTGGCAGATGGACCTTTGGGGGCACCTTGACCATCATATATAGATTGTAAATTTTCTGCTTTTTGAAGAAGTAAAAATTGTATTCACACAATTCTCTTTCTTATTCTCCCTGAAAAACAGAAGGTTGGTGGAATGTTCTGTTACAGAGACAACAGTGAATTGCTGTTGATCTGGACAACCTTTATATAAACCATTTGATGGTAAAGCATGGTCTGCAACTATGGTAAATTGAATGTTTCAGTATGTGGGTGGTTCTTGAGTCAAAAGTTTAAAATTTATATGGTTTCAAACAGACAGGCCTAATTTTAGGAATTCTTGAGGCAGACTATCAATCTTTTGTGCCTGTTCTTTCTAACTTTTTAAAAAAGATTTATTTTAAGTGTTTGAATGTTTTGCATGAATGTGGACCACATGCATACCTAGTGTCTGCAGAAACCAGAAAAGGGCATTGAGTTCTCTAGAAGTGGAGTAGAGGTGATTTGAGCCATCATGTGGGTGCTAGGAACTAAACCCAGGTCCTTTGCAGGAACAGCAAGCACCCTTAACCACTGAACCTTCTCTCCAGCCCATCTTGCCAAGTCTTGAGTCTTTTGTAAGCTATAGAACCTTTCTGTTCTAATAAAGGAACCGTTTCATCGCTACTATACTATAACCTACATGGTTTTCTATCTTCTTTATTAGAATATATTCCACTTTCCTACTCTCCCCACATCTTACCTCTTATTTCCACTTAATAAAGGATGGCATGAGAGGCTAGCCTGTGCTATATAGAGAGTTCAAGGCCAGTCTGGGCTATATAAGTGAGACCATGACTCAAGAAATCACACACAGACACACAAAGGTATAGAGAGTCAAAAATAGTGAAAAAGTATAATTGTGGACTTCTGGGAAAGGGAGACATTGAAAATGAAAGATTCAAAGTGGTTTAAACTAATGGTGAATAAAAAATAACATCTTACATACTTCTATTATATCTTATAATTCTAGTATAACCTCCAGAAAACATTTATATTTAAAATCTAAACCTTTTTAGATTAAGTATATGTTTAGTCAGGATATAGTTATTTTTAATGATATTTCTGTATACTAAAAAATGAAGATAAGTTGTAATGCTAAGGAAATCAGTTTTTAGTATATCTTCTGAGTTGCTATGAAAATAGAATTAATCTGACTTGAGCACAAATTCTGAAGTCAAGGCACCTGGGCAAAGGAATAATCAGCAATCAGAGGCGGGTCCTCAGGAAATCAGAAATTGAAATTTGAAAGAGGAATGTCAGATTTAGCAACTATGGGCTCCATTCTGGAAGCAGAACACCACCTTAGCCTTATCTTATTCCTGGAAGGTACGAAACGTGATGCTCCCATGCTTCCAGAGTGATGCCTGTGGACCTCTTTATTACCACACTGTCTCTGGGGAAAATACATAGATACTTCTGTGAGCAAAGTGGCACCAACTCTTAGGAGATCACTTTACAGTAAATGACTGTCACATATAGTGACAAGCTCTTTTGTTCCATTTATTTCAAGTGGCATTTGAGCCAGCATAATTTCACTATGAAGAAATTGCTTATCATGTGGTTTAATGTGTATTATTTGTTAACTTCTGTGGTGTCTGTGAATTGATTAATTTTGTATATTACATGTAGACATTGAATAACAAGATTTTACATATATCAAGTGTGACTTTCCAGGAAAGAATTTTACAGCATGAGCTTTTTTTGTAGATCTGCCTCTTTAGGGAGAACTCCTTTTACACTAGACCTGGTTTTCTTGATAGCATGGACTATATATTAGTCACTTTACTATCCTCTGTGCCCACACAACATCTGGTAGTACATGAGTGTTTGGTACATAGTTTTGTACATTCTACAGTGGACATTTGAAGTAGAGCATTTAGCTGGGTGTGATAACACATGTCTGTCATCCTAAGCACTTTGGAGATGGAGACAGGAGGATCCTGAGTTTAAGGCTAGCCTGTGCTATATAGTGAGTTCTAGGCCAGTCTAGGCTTCACAGAAAGACCCTGTCTAAAACAAAAAAACAATTGGGCAGTTAATAAAATAGATCAAAAGCCATTGATGGTCCCTGTAAAGGTAACATAGCAGGTCTATTGAAATACAGTATATATTTTTGCCTTTGTTCTTTAGGTTTTCTCAACTGAAGGGCCTGAACTTATCCCATAATAAACTTGGACTGTTCCCTGTATTACTGTGTGAGATTTCTACCCTGACTGAACTCAACCTTTCTTGTAATGGATTTCATGATTTGCCAAATCAGATTGGCAATCTGCTAAAGTAAGTATCTGATATTCCTGGATTCTCTTTCCCCCAGCAGAGGAGCTTGCCCGGCATTTGGGATAAAGAGGTATTTTGAGCTTTTGCAGTGAATAAATCATGTCAGTATTAGTAGCTTATTCAGTAGCTGCTCTTGGTACCAGAGATGTCCTTGCTACCAGCAGTGATCCATTCCCTCTATTTCATCAGCAGAGGCCCTGGCCCTTCTGTGTCTGAGGATCCATCTTGGAAGCTATATCTAAGTCAACTCTTAAGTCTGTGGAACAAGAGTTAGGAAGTTTTACTGTTTGGGGATTGATAATAAACTAGTGACATTACTTAAAAACCTCTAACTTTAGTTCTGTCCATCTGTATGAACCATTCCATAAAGTAGACTTGTTTATTTTTCCCTTCAGTCTTCAAACACTCTGTCTTGATGGCAACTTTCTGACTGCTTTGCCTGAAGAATTGGGAAACCTGCAACAGCTTTCTTCCCTGGGAATCTCCTTCAACAATTTTAGTCAAATTCCTGAAGTTTTTGAGAAACTCACGATGTTAGATAAAGTGGTTATGGCAGGAAACCGTCTGGAAGTCCTGAACTTAGGGGTGCTGACCAGGATGAACCATATTAAGCATGTGGATTTAAGGTGAGACGGCTCTTTAGGGTCACTGGTGGACCTTGATGTCTTCTCCTTAGAAAGACTTGTTAAATACATTAGGGTCTTAGAAAAGTAAAATATTTTCAGACCTGTAGAAAAACTACATTATTTACCTAGTAACGGAGATTAAGGATCAGGTGGATTTGCCACATGACAGAGACTTAAATTGCCAAAGACTGTGACTTCCTTTCCAGAAACATTTTATGAGCATTTCCATTTCCTTACATCTTCCTAAGTCTTTTTTCCTTATTGTCAGTAGAAGGTAGAGAATAGTATTTCTTTTGTTTGTTTGTTTTTGTTTTTGAGACAGGGTCTCCCTGTAGCCCCAGCTGGCCTGGAACTTGCTGTGTAGACCAGGCTGGACTTGATTTTACAGAGATCCACCAGTCTCTGCCTCCCGAGTGCTGGAATTGAAGGTATGTGCCATCATTACTGGCTTATTGCATTATTTTTTTGTCTTAATTTTATGTGTATGAGTGTTTTGCCTGCCTGTATGTGAGTGTACATGTACATGTAATACCTAAGGAGGCCAGAAGAAGACATTGGATCCCCATGGAACTGGTGTTACAGATGGTTGTTAGCCACCATGTAGATGCTGGGAACTGAACCCAGGTCCTCTGCAAGAGCAGCCAGTGCTCTTAACCACTGAGCTATCTCTCTAGTCCCTATTGCATTGTTTTTAAAAAATTTATTTTTATTGTGTGTTTGTGTCTATATGGGTATGTGCATGTGAGTACAGGTACCCTCAGAGGCTAGAGGAGGGCATTGGATCCCCAAGAGCTGGAGTTACAGGTGGTTGTGAGCCACCTGATATGAGTGCTGGGAACTGAATTTGGGTATTCTTCAAGAACAGTATGTACTCCTAACTACTGAGCCATCTCTCCAGCAAATAATGAACATTTATTTGTTGATGAGTGATGTTTGAACATCTTTTTTGTGCATATTATTGGTTTCTAGTTTTCTATAAATTTGACCATTTTTCTGTTGAGTCACTATTTGTTTTCTTGATAACATTGTATTGTAATTGAAATGATCAAGACTTCATTACCAAGAACTTCCTATGAATTTTGTTTTTTAGTCATAATCTTTTCCTAAAGGAAGGTGATTAAAAGACCCCTATTAGATGTTTTGCCGTTTTTCAGGAAGCTGTTAATATGCCCCAGTAAGACATAGGAAGGGGGCTATGCATAAAATAAATATAGTAAATAAAATATTAAAAAAACAAAAAGATACAGGAAGACAGAGACTTAGTAATGTACAGGATAAGAGAGCAGGCCAGTGTGCATTAAGTCACGCACTTATGTGGAAAAGAACCAGAAGTGTTTTTCTAGAGTTTGCCTTGAAATTATTCCATGTGTATTCAGATTATTTTCTTTCCCTTAGTGCCATGTAAGCCTTAGCACTAGAGGAAAGGAGCCACAACCACAGGAGGAAAGAGAGCTGTTCTGTCTCATGACTGCTTAGCTTCTCTCTCACTCAAAAGTGTTTTCTTCTCCACCCCTTCCACCTAACCTTATTAGGTGCTTGGATGTGTTTACCTGCTCCTGTGTATGGCCCCCTTTGCTTTCACTGTGTTTAATTTGTGTATGTGTGTACTGGTTTGGGTTGCCTAACTTAGCTGGATCTTGAGTTCTTTTTTTATAAATTGTGTGGTTTTTCTATAGGACTGCGAAAACCGAGACAAGTAATGAAATTCTTAAGTTCAGTAAAGGGAGAAAAGGGCCATAACTTCATGTGTATTTCTTTTGTTTGATAAGCATGAGTAATAGCATCTCTAATTATCTCCTTATTTTTGAATATTAAGGATGAACCACTTGAAAACCATGGTTACTGAAAATCTGGAGGGAAATAAGCATATCACTCACATGGATTTGCGGGACAACCAGTTGACTGACTTGGACCTTAGCTCCTTATGTAACCTGGAGCAGCTGCATTGTGAGCGGAACTACCTGCGGGAGCTGACACTCAGTGGCTTCTCCCTTCGAACCCTCTATGCCAACTGGAACAGTGAGTTCTTCCAGCCTCCTGTTTTTGTTCTATCAGCTCTAGTCTGAGCTTTTTGTTTTAAGTTTTTATTTTTATTTTGTGTGTATGAGTGTTTTGAGTGCATGTATGTAAGTACATGTGTGTCCAGTGCCCTTGGAGGCCAGAAGAAGGTGTCAGATCCCCTGGAACTGGAGTTATAATTATTAGCCACCATGTGGGTGCTGGGAACCAAACCTGGGGTCTCTGCAAGAGCAGACAGTGCTCTTACCCGCTGAGCCATCTCTCCAGTCAGTAGTCTGAACTTTCTAAGAACAGCGGCATCTGCTGTCCTTCTCAGCAACTCCTGCAGCCTGTAGTTTGTGACACACTGAGCTTTATCTTTTTTATTTTTTTTTCTTTTTGAGACCGGGTCTCCCTGTAGCCCCAGCTCTCCTGGAACTCACTATGTATACCAGGCTGGCCTTGAACTCACAGAGATCTGCCTGCCTCTGCCTCCCTAGTGCTGGGACTACAGGTGTGTGCCACCATGCCCAGTGAGCTTTATCTTTTAACTGCACTGTTAGCACTTGAAGTGATAGAGATACGGGTAAAAAGACATGGCAGAGCACTTTGAGAGTCACTGCACAAACACAGTAAGAGGCAGCTCACAAAAAATCATAGGGATTACTTAGGTGAACAAACATTCACACCAGAGCATCTCTCATAGCATAAACTAGGCATTGATAAACTACTACCCAGGGGCTAAATCTACCTTACTGTCTTTTCGTAAGACTGTAAAAAATGTTTTCTACACTTTTTAAAGATTGGGATAAAAATGAAAATATTTATGATGGGAAAGTTACATGAAATTCAAGTTTTTATACTGATAAGTTTTAATGCCCATACTAATTGCTTAATAGGGTCACATTTGGTTTGTATATTACTGCTTTCCTATTGCCGTGGTACAGTTATGCAAAGCCGGAAGTATTTCCATTTAGCCTTTTAAAGAAAACATTGTTAGGTTATGGTGAAAATACAGGAAAAATAGGACTATTAATAGGAAGATAAGTCTCAAAAACCACCTTTGGATGAAAAAAGGAAACTGCATAATCAATTCCGTACTACATTATACCCAAACTTAAAACACAGAAAGATCATTTTCTTAGTTTTTTTTTTTTTTTTTTGGTCTTTTTGAGCCGGGTCTCCCTGTAGCCCCAGTTGTCCTGGAACTCACTATGTAGACCAGACTGGCCTTGAACTCACAACGATCCACCTGCCTCTGCCTCCCGAGTGCTGGGATTAAAGGCATGCGCCACAACGCCCGGCTCATTTTCTTAGTTTTAACTATGCAGTAACAGCAAGAAAGACTCCACGGGCATAAAGATCACACTCAAGAGACTCTTGGCTTCTTGGTATGAAAGGGAAGCATGAAGAGGATGACATTTGTTAAAGCTAGGTGATGGCTTGTTGGTTTGTTTTTGCTTTGCTTTTCTGTATCTGTAGAATGTATTATTAGGGTAAAAGGAAGTAAAGGACCTCTGTTCTCATTACCTTTTGTCATGCTGTAGAAGCTTCAATGGTGGCTTAGGTTAATTTTATGTAGCAGGAGGTCAAAACTGGGTGCTATGACCCATGCCTATAGTACTTAGTACTAGGGAAGATGAGGCAGGAGGCTCAAGAGTTCCAGGTCACATCGTGAAATCCTATCTCAACCCGCCTCTCCCCCCGGCCCCCAAACCAAAACAATAATAACTACTACAAAAACTATTGACTATTGTCTGGCATTGTATTTTGATCCTATTACAACTAATTAGTACATCCACTTTGGAAAATGTCCAGTGTAACTATTAAAGTTAAACATGTATGGTGTACCTAGCATGTTGTCTCCTAGGCTCATATTCAACATAAGTGCTTAGATGAGTTCACATATATGTGGACAAAGTATCCTATCAGTGCTTAGATGAGTCCACACATACAGGGAAGAAATATTCCTGTTAGTGCTTATGTGAGTCCACACATGTGGATGAAATATTCCTGTCAGTGCTTAGATGACTCCACACATACATGGACAAAATATTCCTGTCAGTGCTTACTTGAGTCTACATAATATTCCTGTCAGTCCTTACATGAGTCCACACATATGTGGATGAAATATTCCTGTCAATGTTTAGATGAGTCCACATATATATGGACAAAATATTCCTAGCAGCACTATTCACCCTAAACTGGAAAAGATATATGTCCAGCAACTCTAAACTGTGTAAGTTAGAATGCCTTTCTCATCAATCAGCTGAGCTAGCAGTGTCCTTTTGCTCTACTTGTACATACACGTCTAGACTAGGGGGAGCTGCAGTGCTGGCCGGAAGCAGCTTTTGTAGCCCTTGGCGTGGCAGTGATAAGTGGTGTTACTTCTAGGGTTAAAACTCTCATGCAGGCCCTTAATAGTGGGGCCCTAGCCCTACAAGTGAAATGTTGCTAGCAGTTAGGATTCTCCAGCCTATGGCAGCAGCTGGCATTGTAGTTTCTGGACAGGCCAAGCTTCAGGATCCCTGGCCCTCTGGAGTTCTTCCAGCGACCAAGGCCTGCTGCTTTGCTTAGCATCTTTCTAGCCTCCTGTCTGTGGTCAGATTCAGCTGTCCATTCACTCTTGCCTTCTCTATACTTCCACCACTACCTTCGTTCCTGCCCTGGCTGTTCTCTCAAACTATTCAGCTGCCTCTTGTTGGTCAGTGTCACAGGAAATAGCCTTTGCTGCCCTTTCACTGCTGTTGTGACTGTTGGCTACCAGTCTTGTGTCTCTGCCACTTTTGCAGCTCTGCTTGTCAACCCCTTAGCTCCTCTTCTTTAGCTCTCAGGAGACGTGTCTTCGCCACCTTCGCAACTCAGTTGCTCCATGTTGCTGTTGCTCTGCTGCTGCTCTGCTGCCTCCGTCACCGCTGCTGTTCCACTGTGTGCTGCTGCTGTGTGTTACCAGCTCTGTTAAAATAGGCAAGAAACAGTCATTCCAAAGAAGCCTTTTACTGGGACTGAGTGCTGTAGATCCCAGCTTCTTTACAAGAAGTGAACTTTAGATGGAATGCTTACATTAAGAACTTAAAGAACTTACCATTAACACTACTAGTGATTTTAAGCAGATTTTAACACTACTTTAACAAAACTGCTCTGTGCCCCAGGGAGGAATGGGTGCCCTGATTTTTCCATATTCACATAAAAAACATTAAAATAAAACTATATGCAACAATATTAATGAATGTCCCAAGCATAATGTGGACTAAATGAAGTCAGACAAAAGCTTATACAGAGGGTGAAGGCAAGGAAGATCAGGAGTTTAAGGCCAGCCTGGGCTACATGATACCATAATAATAAAAGGCCCGAAATTTTATACATAGTAGCAAGGATTAGTCATGCTTAGGGTTACAGGGATGTACTACCATGTTTGGTTTATGCAGTGCTGGGGATTGAACCCAGGACCTTGTGCATGTTAGTCAAGCACTCTACCAACTGAACAAAATCCCCAGCCCTCTTCCAGCCTTTTACCTCAGTGGTTGGGAAGCTGAGACAGGAGGATTCTTGCCGGGGGTTTGAATCAGCAACCCCTGCGGAGATGATGATTGGGGATGAGTAAGCACGCTGTTCGCCAGCCCACACCTCCCCCAGTACCCGGGGACACTCAGACGCAACGGGGAGTCTAGTCAAGCAGGGACTCATTTATTGCAGGTATTACAGAGCTTATAAAGGCACCTGGAAATCTGCCCCCTCAGGGTGTATCTTAAGGATGGTCACGCGCTGATCATGCACTCCTCAGCAGTGCGGAAGTATTCTTCAGACTTTCAAAGCAAGCCAGGCCGTGCCCCCAGTAACTTCCTTTTGGACCTATGCAAGGTGGGGCCTTTAGGTCCCCACGGATTATGAGTTCAGGGTTACCTGGGCTGCGTAAGATACTGTTTGGGGAAAAGACAAACTTATAAACTGCATTTACTTACATAAACCATGAATGTTATCTATAGTATTTGGAGTCAGGACAATGACTTATTTCCTTTGAAAGGGGTAGTGGCTAGAAAAAGTGAGGTGATGCTTTGGGGGGCTGTTAATATTCTTTTATGATTTGAGCATTGATTTCACTAGTGTGTTGCAGTTCATTGATCTATACACTTAAGATTTTTTCTGTGTTTACATTTGAGTTAAAGGTGAGATAGCAAAAATCCAGGTATTAATTTCTCAAGTTAAAAAATGAATTACTGTTAATATTTAGCAACTGCCTGATGTAGTGTGAATTCATTGCAGTACACAGGATCCTGCAGCTAGTAGTTATATGTGTTTTTAAGACAAATTGGGATCAGTAGTCACAGTGAGTTGCTACTAGTTTTTGTCTTTAGTCATCTCAGTAAAGGACATCCATGTGGCCATTTGGACCTTGTTTACATTAGTTCTTGCTTTCTTCCTCAGAGAACATTGCTAACATGTGTTTGCTTTTCACAGGACTGACAGCAGTAAATGTCTACCCAGTGCCCAGTCTGCTCACTTCCCTAGAACTCTCCCGGTGAGTGTGTCCAGGAGGGTGGTCCTTGTTTAAATTGTAAAACTTCAAATATAGGGGTTGGAGTGATGGCTCAGCAGTTAACAGCACTGACTGACTGCTCTTGCAGAGGACCTGATTGGTTCTCAAAACTCACATGGTGGCTAGCATCTGTGATTCCAGTTCCAAGGGACCTGACATTCTCTTCTGACCTCTACAGGCTTTGCACACACATGGTATACTTACATACAGGCAAAATAGTCCTTCATTAAATAAATAAATAAATAAACAAACATCAGATATGGAGATGGATATATAGATATAAGGCTGGTTGATTTGGGGAAGTTTTGAGATATAAGAAATTCTAAATATATTGAAATTTAATAACTTGAAAAAAGACAAAAGAATGAATTTGAAGGTAAGCCTAATAGCCTTGGTCCATGGCTAAAGGAAGAACTTTCTTGGAAAGGAAAGATACTCATAAAACAACAGGTTGCTTTAACTTAACTCTCACACTATGGTGTAATCACTGTTACCAACTTTCTGTCCTGATTCTCGAGAATTACTTGCATTTGTTGGCTCCCTTTCCTCACCCACCAGCAGCTTGTTTTAGGCCTTCTCTTCTGCAACTTTTCTGTCCTGACACTTGGCTTTCTCTTCTTTAAATGTACTTCACAATATTTCCCTGGCTGGCTAATAAATCTTTTTGGTTTTTTATTTGGTCTTTTTGAGACAGAATCTCCCTGTAGCCCCAGCTGGCCTGTCTATGTAGAGCAGGCTGGCCTCAAAATCACAGAGATCTGCCTGTCTCTGCCTCTGAGTGCTGGGATTAAAGGTGTGCACCATCACAGCCAGCTCATACAATCTCATTTTTAAAAGATATATTTTATTTTTTATGTGTATGAGTGTTTTGCTTACATGTATGTAAGCACACCCATGTTGTGCAGTGCCTGCAGAGGCCAGAAGAGGGCATCAAATCCCCTGGAACTGGAACTTCCAATGGTTGTCAGCCACCATGTGGGTACTGGAAACTGAACCCAGGTCCTCTGCAAGAATAGTCAGTGCTCCTAACCACTGAGCCACCTCTCCAGTCTTAAAATGCCATGTTAGACATGGCTTCTCTGTCTTTTTTTTTTTTTTTTTTTTTTTTTTTTTTTTGTCTTTTTGAGACAGGGTCTCCCTGTAGCCCTAGCTGTCCTGGAACTCACTATGTAGACCAGGCTGGCCTTGAACTCACAGAGATCCACCTGCCTCTGTCTCCCAAGTTCTGGGACTACAGGCTACAGGCATGTGCCACCATGCCTGGCGGCTTTTCTCTTTGACATACTCTTTTTCAGGTAACCTTTCAAAGGTTAGTTATCCCTCAAGTTCTGTCTTGGAACCTGTTACTGGATATGATTTCATTTATGCTAACAATAAGTGATCAACTATTGGCATTAGCCAGGTTTCTATACTAGACCCTCTTCTATCAGCAGAACACTTGTAACTACAGTTATCTATTTGAAGCTCACAGCTGACTTTGTGCACTGCTTCTAAATCCTTCAGTGCAGTCTCCTTACCTGTAGGAACTGATCAGAACCTTCCAGATGTGGGTTAGACCTGGCTCCAGCCTCACTTTCCCACTTTGTCTCCCTTCACTCACCACCCAGCATCACCACTGCTTGGTGTTCCCGTCACACATCACACGTCTTGCCTTGTCTGTGCTCTGACTCATGCTGGCACCCCTTGCTTGGAATGTCCTCAGCATGCAAGGTCGCAGTACAACATTCTTCAGAATCTAACCAGATGTCATGTTCTTAGCAAACCTGCCTTGGTCTATTTCAGGCAAAGTGTTCCCTTCACTAAGCTGTCATAGCAGGGTCTGCGTTTCTCTTACATAGCACTTAACTGCATTCTGCCACATCAGTTGACAGATACTGAGGCCTCGAAAAGGTTGGGTCACATCTGACAACAGAAGTCCTTGTGCTACATATCTGCCCAGTGCTCAGATATTTCAAGTTCATATTTTCCATGTTTGAAACTTTCCTCCCCTGCTGATTATCTTTCACCTCTACTTCCTCATTTTCCTGTTACTTCCCTCTGTGCTTTTTTCCTCACCATCATTACCCGTGGAATTCCTAATTATTTTTGATGCTTTGTTTAAAATGCCACTTCTACCAAATCTTTCCTCATTTTGCCTTCATCTTTTCTCACCTGCACCCCCTGCTTTCCTGCTACTGGAAGCCCCTCACCTTCTTTGAGCATGTAATAAAGCATGGGTGATACATAACTGCTGTACATACTTGAGTGCTTATCTCTCCCTACCCTTCTAATTTAACAGCATTTTCTGAGTGCTGACTGCATTTTAGGTAATAAGCCAGAGAATGCCTTAGAGATAATGTCCCTGCCCTCAAGGACTCATGGGCCACTTCATAGGTACATTGCAGTAGACTGAGTTCCGTTTGTCTGTCAGACTTCCATAGCTGTGAGAAAATACCTGAAATAAACAATCTAAAGGAGGGAGGGCTTATTTTTGGCTACAGTTTCAGATCTATGTTCACTTAATACCATGTTCACTCACCTTGGGCCTGTGGTAAGAGGTACATTATGGTGGCATCTCATGGTAGAAGAGACTGCTTACCTCATGGCAACCAAGAAGCAAAGAGAAAGGAAGAGGTCAGAGGCCCGAATCTCCTTCCAACTTTTCCCTCCCTCCCTCCCTCCCTCCCTCCCTCCATCCTTCCCTCCATCCTTCTTTCCAAACAGGGGCTTAGTTCTCCTAATTTATACTATTACTACATGCTATTAGAACAAACCTGCAACACATGTCTTTGGGGAAACATTTATGACCCAAGCCATATAACTTTTTACTTTAAATGTTGGTTTTTAAATTATTTATTTATATCCATTTATTTTTATTTTATGTGTATGAGTATATTGTCTGCATGTATGTAAGTGCACCTGTGTTGTGCAGTACCCATGGAGGTCAGAGGGTGTTGGGTCCCTGGAACCGGAGTTATGGGTCATTGTTAGTTGCCACATGGGCATTGAGAATCGAATCTGGGTCCTCTACAAGAGCAACCAGTGCTCTTAACCACTGACCCATCTCTCCAGCCCCTAAATGATGGTTCTTATTCTTTGCAGAAACCTGCTAGAGTGTGTCCCTGACTGGGCTTGTGAAGCAAGAAAGCTAGAAATACTGGATATGAGCTATAATCTACTCACAGAGATTCCTCTGAGGTATGTGTATATGAATGCATACATCATGTATGTCTATGTTTAATTATTCCTAGATTTGTGTTGCCTTTCATTTGTCCAGTGACTATGAGTACCTGCTGGGTAGGAGGCAGTGTAATGTGCTAAAGAAATACAGTGATGGCTAATGTGTGGTTTTAGTGCATAAGAGACTTAGTAAATATGCATACCAGTAACTGTGATAAAGTGTGCCCAGAGTTGCTGATGTAGTGGTCTGATAGTATTCACAGTTGATTTTATAGAGTGAGTTATTATGTGCTGGTAAATATCCTAAGAACTTACTTTATGATCTTACCTAATCCTTTAAAAGCCTTTTATAGGTGCTGCTGCCTTCACCTTACGAAAAAGGAAACTAAGAAAGCTTAGGTAACTTGTCTGAAGTGGTACTTAACAGGGCTGATGGGAGCTAGCATTTGATGTAGCTTCTTATAATAGAGGCTTTAACTCTTAATCACAATGCTATGTAAATTGCTTAGAAATCAGAAGAGCTTTCAATAATTAGTGCCTCGTGGTAAGGTGACATTTGAATTGACATTTACTGGATAGTGGGTTTTCTCTAACTTTAGGAGGGAAGGGAAAGTGGTTCTTGTGAGGTAGGGTAGGGTATTACATTACATATTCAAAAGTACTGAGTTGTAAAATGTATGCTTGTGGAGTCTTTAAAATTAAAATAGAGGCTTCATAGCACAGTAGGTCTTTGCCTAGCTTTTGAAGGGGCATCTTACTATACATCTTGGTGATTCCATTTCAGTAAGATGTTTGGCGAATAAAAGTCACTTAATCTTTCTGGATTTCATTGCTAAATTGCCTAGTCCTAGTACATTTTAAGGATGCAATAAATAGTTTTTTTTATTGTAATAAAAAGTCTCATTATGGACTTATGTTGTTTCTGTTAATAAACATACTGAATTTATTAATAAATGTCTAGATTTCATTTCTGTCTAGGCTTAAAATCGAAATGGAATTATAACTCCAGAAATTGCTTTAGTCTCAATCTCTGTGCTGCTCATCCTCATGATTTCACTTTTTCTCAGAATGGCCTTGGCGACTTCTGGGCAGGTGCTGAGTAACATGTGTGACTACTTTCTTGGCCCAGGCACTTCTCAGAAATTGTATGGTCTAGAAATATGTTTCTGTTAGTTGGCTAGTTTTAATTAAGTAGGGTATGAGAGACTTAGAAAGATTTAAGTAAGTTTTTGTTTCCTTCTGTTTTCATCCCCTTTAGGATTCTGAGTAGTTTGAGTCTTAGGAAACTGATGTTGGGACACAACCATGTCCATGCCCTTCCTGTGCTGGTGGAGCACATCCCCCTGGAGGTGCTAGATATCCAGCATAATGCTCTCTCCAGGCTGCCAGACACCCTCTTCTCCAAGGCCTTAAAGTAAGTGCTGGAGGATTCCCTCCTCAGAGGAGCATAGTCCTTGTCTCTACAGGCTGCACTGACCTGTCCCTGGAGAGATTTCTGTATTTACAGTTTACTTGATACTCCAGCAGTGAGCGGAGGGCATAGTTATACTTTTTATGATAGAAAATATGGCAGTGTTTCGTAGTAAACTTGAGAGCTGAAGTAGGTATCAAATACTCAATGCTGAGAAAGTTCAGGCTCTTGTGTCTACAAATAGTGATTGGAGAGAAATAGTATTGAGGTAGAGCCTTGGATAATTTTCAGCTTTTGCACTGAGGGAAAAAGAACATGCCATGAAGTTCATTTTATTCAAGCTTTATCAAGTTGTCTTTTAGTTACAGTCTCTTGATTTCCAGAGTGTTTTGTTGTTATCCACTTTGAAAACTATGCATTTAAAGGTAATATCCTTCCACAAGGTGGTGTTTGCCATTTTGTAAATTAACAGGTAGAAAGTATTTCTTCTTCTTTTAAGACTTATACTCAGGGCTGGAGAGATGGCTCAGTGATTCAGAGCACTGACTGCTCTTGCAGAAGACCTGAGTTTGAATCCCAGCACTCACATTGTGGCTTACAACCATCTGTAAGAGGGAATCCAGTACCCTCTTCTGTCCTCCACGCCACTGCACAATACAGATGCACTTACATGCATTCAGGCATAACACTTATACACATAAAATTAATAAAAAATAAACAAAGAAGCCAAGTATATTAGTGCACACCTTTAATATCAGTATTTGGGAAGCACAGGCAGGTGGATCTCTGTGAGAGAAAGGGCAGCCTGGTCTACATAGGGAGCTCTAGACCAACTGGGGCTACAGGGAGACCAAAAGAGAAATAAACAATAGGACTTCAGCATAGGATTATAGGAGACAAACAAAGAATTTAGCCCAAAGGAGTCTTATTTTCTGTTTTGTAAGTTTATGCATCTCTCAATATATAATACACTTAGTTGGATAGTCCTCAAAATAAAATCTTTAGAAAACTCCCTAGTCCCCACAGCCCTGCCAGAAAAAAGTCCTATTAGAGGGGAATTTTCTTTGGGGAAAATTTCTGTGAAGTTTTGATGAAGTTGTTAATTAACAAGAAATACATAACACTGAATGCAGTCTTAATGACTGGTTGAATATAATTGGTCTTCAACCTTAGAATCTACAGTAAGGAAGTTATGTAGTAATATAATACTCTGTCCAGAGCAGTTTTGGGACAAAGACACAGCAGGCACACACAGTCCTTAGCAAATTTAAAATTATGGGTGTGGATCATACAGCATGCAGATTTAAGAACACACAAATTGAAATGGAGAGAGTTCATTGGTAAAGTGCTTGCCTCACAAGCCGGAGGATCTGAATTCAGTTCTCCAGAACCCTTGTAAAAATGCTGGGCATGCTGTTTGGTGCTTATAATGTTGGCACAGAGGTAGTGGAGACAGGTGGATCTCTGGTCTCACTAGCCGGCTAGTCTAGCCTAATTGGTGAGCAGCAGGCCATTGGAAGAGCCTGTCTTAAAGGAAGTGGGTGGCATTTTTATTACATTTATTTGTTTTTTATGTGTATGCATATGCCTACACCACAGTGCATGTGTGCTGCTTAGAGGACCAACTTTGTGGAGTTGTTCTCTCTTCCACTGTGTGGGTCCTGGGGATAGAACGCAGGTCATCAGGCTTATTGGCAAGCTCCTTTATCCAAGATGAGCCATCTTGCCTGGCCCATGGGTGGCATTCTTTAGTATGACACCCAAGATTATCCTCTGGCCTCCACTCACATGTACCCAGATGATAGCTCTCATGGGTGTGGATACACACACACACACACACACACACACACACACACACAAGAACATACGAGCTTAATAATAACTGCCTTTTATTGAGAATATTGTCTGTATACCAACATTGTGTTTGGCAGATTTTTAAATTATACTGTGGTTTACTTGTTAGATTGCCAAAGATTAATTAATTATGATAGTCTCTGTTGATAACTGTGTCGATTGCATTATTCTTGTGGAAGTGCAATTTGTACATGATCTTAGAATGCCAAGAAGCAATGCCAGTGCTATTTGATACAACTTTTCTAGATCTTATTTAGACAATATATATATGCACACACACTTTGAGGGGGCAGTATATTTTTTAGAGCCATATAAAAATATATATTCTTTGATCCCGTAAATACTGTACCTGTATCTTGTGCCAGTTGTAGTGGTGCACACCTTTAATCCCAGCAATCAGAACTAGCAGGGGCAGTTTAATCTCTGAGTTCAAAACCAGCCTGGTCTACATAGTGAGATCCTGTCTCAAAATAAATAAACAAACAAAAAATAAAACTCTACTCTGGAGAAATTGGATGAGAACCCAAGATTCCTATTTGTGGTCCGAATTCTCTCTGGGTCTCCTGCGCGATCAGACTAACCATATAATATATTTTATGTGTATTTATTAACTTACAAAGGAATGAGTACCCAGTGCTTAGCCCCACGCAGCGCCTGAGAGCCCACCTTATCAGACTGTGCCACACCCATAATTTGCTCACACCTCTGGGGCCAGCGATCGCCCCACGTCCATTGAAAGTCAGTCCATTCTGTCTTTCAGTTGTTGTGCAAGTTCCCATGGCTCAGGGCTTCCCCTTGGCTAGCGGCTTCTCCTGCTCCCTCATGGCTTCTGTTCCAAGATGGTCCCCCCAGCCACACCCCCATAATCCACACTCTGTGGCAGGCCCCGCCCATTGGAGAAACTAGCCAATCGGGAGACACTATTATAATGTCTGTTAATAGCATCTGTAAGGAAATATATAACTAGCCTATGCATAATCCATTATTAGAATATTATGGGATTGGCTAAATAAATAAATGATGTATTAAGAAGAGACAAAATTCTTTTCAAGGTTATCTTCATAGTTAAGATATATGTGGAGGTGGCACCCACCTGTGTCTTTTAGTGGAAACACATGATTTTGCATGCAGCCCCTAGAGAAGACTAGGAAAATAGCTATGCCTATATTTTTTTTCCTCTCCACCTGGCTTCCATTATTTGGGTAATAGGAACTTTGAGTTGCAAATGCAGAGAAAACTTCCTGAAGGAAATTATTCTTGACTTTGGGAGCTTGATTTCAGCATTCTTACTGATTTCTATTTAAGAATGTAACGATCACAAAGGGAATGATGCTCTGTCTGTATTCTGTCAGTCTCAGATACCTGAATGCATCTGCAAATAGTCTGGAGTGTTTGCCTTCTGCGTGCACTGGAGAGGAGAGTCTGAGCGTGCTGCAGCTGCTGTATCTGACCAACAACCTCCTGACAGATCAGTGCATACCTGTCCTGGTTGGACACCCACACCTGCGAATCTTGCACCTTGCAAACAACCAGCTTCAGACTTTTCCCGCAAGGTAAATGAGTGAGAAGTGTGATCACTTGAGAGTGAAGCATGAATTCTGCATTCTATCATAGCTCTCTGACTATGACACTTGGATTACTGGTGCTTTGGTTTCATTAGCTCCCTGGGAAAAATCTCATCTTAATAGTTTGTAACCTGTTAAGTAGTAATAGCCAAAGAAATTGTGGTTAAAATATGCTTAATTTTTAGTTCTAATGATTTAATAATGATCTGAAAGTGTTCAACCTAGAACACATAGGCTTATGAAATAAAATTTAAAATAGCTGAAGATATTGTTTTCTAACAGCACTGTATTATAAAATACTGTTTTCTATTATTTTTTAAATTATCTGTTCTTGGATCAAATGGCTAATATATACTACTTACTTAGTAACAGAGCCTCTATCTTCATGGAAACCTCCCTCATGTGAAATAGATAAGTGTCTAGGCAGTTGCCATGCAGCATGACAAATGCATGACATTGAAGATCCCAGGGTCCAGCTTCTGGGGCTGGAGAGATGACTCTGTGAATAACAGCATTTGAGACTCTGCCACAGGACTTGAGTTTGATTCCCAGCACCCACATGGGCTTCTCACAAACACTAACTGCAGTTCGAAGGGATCCAAACCTCCTCCTGGCCTTTGTGGGAACCTGTACACATGTGGCATACACTCACACAGAAATAAACATACACATAAATAAAAATAAATCTTTTATAAAGATACCAGGTTTATAGCCACACTACATGGAGCTTGGGAAATGGGGCAAGGCTGGGAGGAAGAGAGGAATAATAGTAGGCTCCATCGCTAAGAAGACAAAAGAGAGAGAGTTTTTGTGTCAATGTTTTAAACAGTGTCAGCGGAGAAATAAATACCTTACAAAGTACATTTAATTTTTAAAATATGGACTAGGGATGTAACTCAGTTGGTAGGGGTATTTGCCTAACATGTGCAAAAGCCCTGTGTTCCATCCCCAGCACTGCATAAATCATGTGTGGTAGCACACCTATAACCCCGGCACTTAGGAGATAGAGGCAGGAGGATCAGAAATTAAAAGTAGCAAGTTTGAATCCAGTCTGGGATACATGAGACCCTATCTCCTCCTGGCCCCCCCACTCCAAAATTAACATCTATAAAATGCCATCATTAAAAAAGTAACATTTTTGGGTTAGCATACAGAGTAATGAGTTTCATTATGGTAACTTCATTCATTACCTTCATGAACATTCATGAACTTTATTTATGAACTTATCATTCATGCTCCTCCCCACTGTCCTCCAAAAATATTGTCAACAGCCAGGAAAATGGCCAAGTGACATTTAATATAAGTTGAATATGAAATTATCATAATTTCATTGATATAATCTGAATGGGAATTTTTTCTTTTTTGGTCTTTTTGAGACAGGGTCTCCCTGTAGCTCCAGCTGGCCTGGAACTCACAGAGATCCGCCTGCCTTTACTCCCAAGTGCTGGGATTAAAGGCATGAGCCATCACACCTGGTGAGTTTATTCTTTAAAATACCGTTTTTGTGAACATTTATGAAATGAGAACTTAAGAAGACAGTATAAACTTACTTTCTTGAAAGTGGCTTTTAACATGAACATACAATCTTAATTTCAGGATGTGAAAGATTTCTTAAAATCTTGATAGATTTAGTTGAACTAAAATATGTTCATCTAAAGTGACAATGGTAGAGCACTGGCAGATTATTTTAGCTCACAGAGCTATTGAATGGTGCCAGTTTGCTAGTCTAGAACTGATGGGTCCCACCCAATTTGATGACACTCTTGTTTTGGGAAGAAGGATCAGAAACAGGCTGATAGAAAACTGAAAATACAGGCTGGAGAGATGTCTCAGTGGTTAAAAGCACTGGCTGCTTTTGCAGAGGACCTGGGTTCAGTTCCCAGCACCCACATGGCAGCTAACAACCATCTGTAACTCCAGTTCCAGGGGGTTTGATGTCCTCTTCTGACCTCTGAATGCAATGCGCATGACATGGGTGCACTTATATACATGCAGGCAAAACACTCATATACATTAAAAAATAAATAAATAAAAAAGAAAACTGAAAAGACACCACAGAAATTAAAGTAAGTTAGCTTAATAAAGACAGCTGCTCACACAAAATTAGGTAATCTAATTACAGATAATAAAACTAAAGAGAATTTAAGAGCATCTTATTAAAGAAAATATGTATTCCATATTGAATAAAATCCTATTAGGTCATTTTCTGAGCAAAGTTAAAATTGAACCATCACAGTCTGAATTTTGTTTCTTTTGAACTGTTTGTGAGCATCTTTTTATTTTATCTTCAAATAAATTTAAAGTACTGTGTGAGACATAGCATGTGCCGGAAGGTCAGAGGACAGCTTGCAGGAGTCAGTACTTTTTCCATCATGAGGGTCCCAGGGATCAAATTCAGAGTGGAAGTCAGGCCTGGCAGCAAGTGACTTCACCCGTTGAGCCTCCTTGTTGGCCCTGAGTTTAGAACCTTGCACAGTTGTAGGTACCCAGTAAGAAGCTGATCTAGGATACCTGTATTGTATTTCTATTCAAAAGACAGAAGAACCTGCGCTGGGCATAGTATGAGAGAAGTGAATAAAGGTTGGCCATGAGAACACATTTAAAATAGATTTTAAAAATAAGTTAGATGCCAGGTGTGGTCTTGCACGCCTTTAATTCCAGCACTCAGGAGGCAGAGGCAGGTGGATCTCTGTGAGTTCAAGGCCAGCCTGGTCTACATAGTGAGTTCCAGGACAGCTGGGGCTACAGGGAGACCCTGTCTCAAAAAGACCAAAAAAAAAAAACAAACAAAGGTAAATGGCAGTACAGCACTTTTTTGTGTGTGAGACAGGATCTCACTGTGGAGTCCAAGTTGAACTCAAACTCGGGATCTTCTTGCTTTAGCATCCCACATGCTGAGATTACAGGCATGTGTCATCACAACTAGCTTTTTCTAAATTTGAGAAATTATTTCATGCTTTAACGACAAGAATGCTATTTAACAAAATGTCATCAGAGATTATTTCTGGTAGTTGGATGAAAAGATTTGAGATGACTCAGTAGGTAAAGTGCTTTCTGTGTAAGCTTCAGGACCTGAGTTCAGAACCCACATAGAAAACCAGCTGTGGTGGTACATGCCTATAAATCCTAGCACTGAGGAGGCAGAGACAGGAGGATCTCTGGGGCTTGTAGGCTAACTAGTGTTGCCAAATTGGTGAGTTCCACATTCAGTGGGAGACCCTGTCTCAAAAAATAAAATGGAGAATGTAGGGGAAAACACATAATGTCAGTCTCTGGCTTCTATATGTATATACACACGCACACACACGCACATGTACACACATGAACGTGTACACACATAAAGGGTTTTTTTATGTCTTTATTTTCCAGTTTCTTTGAATGCATATATGTATTATTTATCATAATACAAAAGAAAATTAATTTCCTAAGCTTACTTATTAAAGTGTGAATTTTGTGTGTGTGTGTGTGTTTGTTTGTGTGTGCCTGGGTATATATGAAAAGTATGAATTTTCTATTCGTAGAGATTATTTGTGATCTGTATAAAAGGTAAGATGGAAAATTCATGTAAAATATTGAGAAATTTATCAGGAAGTTTAGTAAAATTATACTAGTAACTCAAATTGCTGGTGTTATTGGTGATTTACTCTTCAAACTTTGTCTATATTTATTTATGGTTGTGGGGTTATGGTTTTTTTTGTTGTTGTTTGTTTGTTTTTTGGTCTTTTTGAGCCAGGGTCTCCCTGTAGCCCCAGCTGGCCTGGACTCACTATGGACACCAGGCTGACTTTGATCTCGCAGAGATCACCCTGCCTCTGCCTCCTGAGTGCTGGGACTAAAGGTATGTGCCACCACACCTGGCTCATATTTATTGTTTTTATAATACTTTAAACCAACAAATCTAAAGAAATCAGAGGAATTTGTAATCTTAAGAAAGATGTTAGACCTGCTATAATTTTGCTTAATTTGGGTAGTGAGAATACTGTGAATCCATTTTCTTGTCCCATGTATGTATTGTGTTCAATGGTTGCTGTGAAGTAATACCTGGAGAAGCTTAAAACAGAAAGTTATCTTGGTTCCGTTTCTTTATTCACTGCTGAGGCAGTCATGGCCCTTTGGCATTCCCTATGTCATCTGTAGCTAGTTAGTGGTGCAGCAGGACCAGCACGCATCTCTCAACATTAGGTTAGTACTTTTTCAGCAATTTCCTGTAAATTGGACTATAGGAAGATGTTTATGCCCACAGCTATAAGGAAAGCAAGGACATGCTGGTCTTGAACGCTGCGTACTGAACGACAGATGGGGCTGAGAGTAGCATGCTTGATCATGGTGGTGAGCCACAGCCTGGCTGGCATCTGATTGCTTCCTTCTCCCTGGGGTCCTCCACAGTGAACAGCTTGTCCTTCCTTGAGCTCTGTGGCTGTTGTAAGATAGCACTGGCTTTCAGCTGCTCTTTTTAATGCAGTATGGTATTTTGATTTTTTTTTTTTCAGTAAACTGAATAAATTGGAACAACTGGAAGAACTGAACTTAAGTGGGAACAAGCTTAAAACCATTCCGACGACCATAGCAAACTGCAAACGGCTGCACACCCTTGTTGCACACTCCAACAACATCAGCATTTTCCCAGAAATACTTCAGTTGCCTCAGATCCAGGTACTTGTCATGCTTACCTGATATGCTCTGGGTGGAATGGCAGGAGTGTGAGTGAGCAGCCTCTTGTAAGGAAGAAGTATGGAGTATGAGCACCTTTCTCGCCTCACAAAGGCTTTCTCATGCTAATTTTCCTTCCCTGTTAATAAGATTTATTGAGAGACCCAACTGTGTAACTGTACTGCTTTCTGATGCCCCTAATCTGGTAAATTTTTTACTTTCTTGGACTCTTCCCAAAATGGCCTAGCCAAAGCCCAAATCCTATACTAGTTTCTTTCCTGCACTCTCTTCCCTCTACACCCCAGGGTTTCATGTTGATCATTCTCTATTGCTGCAAGGAGTATAAACTCTACTTGAACTAAGGTGTGCCCTGGTGGTGTGCTGAAGGATACTGACACCACTACTTCTTGATCAACGTGACCAGAGAACATCCTTCCAGCTTTTGATAGGTTCAGAGAGCTTAGATGTACTGCCCTTGGGATGGCTGAATTCCCCTTTTATTCAGAGATAATGAATGGGGATTATTTTCTTCTGATATGCTCACTTTGGTTTTTTTTTTTTTTTTTTTTTTTTTTTTGAGATAGGGTCTTCCTGTAGCCCCAGCTGGCCTGGAGCTCACTATGAAACCAGGTTGGCCTCTGCCTCCTGAATGCTGAGATTAAAGGCATGTGCCACCATTCCTAGACTAATATGCTCACTTTGAAATCTTGAGTATGCTTAATTCATTGCTGGAAAGAAGCTAAAGTTCTCTTATGGAGATAGTAGAAGACAGTGGGTTTGGGAGTACAGAGTGAATTGTGATGTATTCTCTTTTGATTTCGCTATTTCTTCTCAGTTTGTAGATCTGAGTTGCAATGACTTGACAGAAATACTCATTCCAGAGGCTCTGCCTGCTACGTTACAAGACCTTGACCTGACTGGAAATACAAATCTGGTTCTAGAACACAAGACTTTGGACATGTTTAGGTAGGAAAAAGATTCTGAAATTGAATTTCTGTATGTTCTAACCATCTGGGGGTCATCTTTGGGGCCGTGGTAATCTCAGTTAATTAAAGGACAGAGTGAATCAGACCAGAGTTATTTCTAGGTTATCTTCCAGATTGAGTTCTCAATATTGAGGCTGCTGCAGAACTACACACTAGATAATTTTACATGACAGGCATAGGTAAGATTGGTGTTGCGGATCACATTATAACCTTTAAGTGTTCCAAGACTTCTTTATATTGCAATACTTACAATAAGTGGACATTTGGCTGAGACTTAGAGGTCTTTGTGATGCATTAGCTGAAACAATATCCAGCCTCTTTCTTCTGCTACTTTTTTCTCCCCTCCATCACCGTCACAGATCCTCAATCCCACTTCCATCAGTATATTTTAGTCTGTCAAAAGATACAGATATATTTTATATCTAATTTCTGATAAGATACCTAGTTAATAACAATGCTAATGTATTCTTAAAAAATGCTAATAGTGGGTATGAAGGGTACAACCAGAAAAATAATGTGTGGTAATGCATATGCTAATTAGCTAGATTTAGTAATTCCACAGTTTATATTTACTTCAAAACATGCAGTTTATGATACAGTTTTATATGTCAATTTTAAATAAATTATTTTAACAAAAATTATTATTAAAACACGTTATTATTGGGATGGTTCTTAGAAAATACAGAAGAGAATATGGTTTAATCCTTCTTTCTTCACCTCCTGCAGCCATATCACAACCCTGAAAATTGATCAGAAACCTTTGCCAACCACAGATTCTACAGTTGCATCAACCTTCTGGAGCCACGGCCTGGCTGAGACGGCAGGACAGAGAAATAAGTGAGTGTCAGCTCTGGTTACGAAAGGAAGTAAGGCAGTTTCTGCAGCCGAGAGCTACTCTAGTGCACACAGCTAGTCTCTGCCACTGAGGACTGCTCTAGTGCACACAGCTAAACCATCTTGTCTTGTCTGCCACACAAAAACAAGTCACAGAACTTCAACTCTGAGATAAGATCCCTCTAAGTACTAAATTCCTCTCAAGGCTTTCCCTTCATGTGAATGTTCCTTCCCAGCCAGTCGCATTTATTGAGAGACCCAACCACATAGACAGCACTGCTTTCTGATAGCCGCCAATCTGGGGTGATCCTCCACTCCTTTAGACTTTCCCCCAAATAGCCCAGGTTCCTTCCTGTACCCTATTCACCCCGATATTCCATTGTGAGCATGCTTCCTTGATACAAGGAAAATAAACCCACTTCAGCCCAAGGTGTGTCCCGACGGCTCTGGCTGAAGGGCATTGACAAAACTAGTTCTTAGTTACCATGACCAGAAAACATCATATCTTTCCAGCTTTTGACAGGATTGCAATGCTAATATGTACTTCTCGTGAATATGGCTGAATCCCCCTTCCTTAGGATGTTGTCTCTTGCAGATGGTGCCTAACTGTCTTCCCTAGGACATTTCTTCATGATTTATTATGCTTCTCCACCTTCAATTAATAATTTTTCAAAGAATGTTCCCTGAAGAAGAATCTTTTGCCATTAACTGTCTTCGGTGATAATGTTTCTCATCTTCTTGTTCTAGGCTGTGTGTGTCTGCCGTGGCTATGGATAACTTTGCAGAGGGGGTGGGAGCTGTGTATGGAATGTTTGATGGGGACCGGAATGAGGAGCTCCCTCGTCTGCTGCAGTGTACAATGGCAGATGTGCTTTTGGAAGAGGTACAACACTCTACAAATGACATGATTTTCATGGCCAACACCTTCTTGGTATCTCACAGGTAAGCAGGTGGGTTGAACAATCCTTAATTCAGCTCTACTTCTGGAAAGTAAATCTGTAAAATTGAGGGTCGTGGCTTATAGATGCAGGATCAGAGAGAGATCTTGCTCCTCTGAACCACATTCTCTCTGTGTCAGCAGGGTGTGGGGGGACATTGCCTCTGTAAAGAACCTGTGGAATCATCTGCCCTCTCTTGTGTCCACAAAGGCTGCTGATGTTCTGGGAAGACCAGAAAGTGTATGCCATAGGTTGTAAGTCTGCATGCGTGTGGGTGCATTTACAGGGAAGGTGACCTCCTTTCATAAGTTTCAAATGCTTTCATATGATTCTCCAGAGTCAGCTGATGACCTCAGAAGGCTAACAAGCACTGATCAGATTTATGTGTTTAGAATATTTGTTATTGGGATATATCCAATGAGTCCTTTCCATTAACATCTAAGCCATTTAAGGCAAGAAACTTCACATCCAAACACCTGAAAAGTCTTTTAGTAGCTGGTGGAGAGCTTCTTCAGGTTGAGTAGTGGCCTGAAGGATATGAAGTGCTGAGAGACTGTAAATTCGAGTAATCGAGATTGAGGTGGGGAAGCCTGGAACTGGAGCTGGTTGTATCTGTCATAAAAAGGAGGGTATTGGCAGAATATAGAAAGAGAACTTGGTTTAAGTACCCACCAGTGGGTGGTAAGTACTACACCACAGTTTTCATCCTTTATCTTTCCAAACAATTTCTCAGAGAAGGAACTTGGTAAAATCCTGTAGCCAGCAAATGCAAAACTGGAATTTGAAACTGGATTCTTCTGGGTATCTGCCGTGTGTCAGCATTGCCTACTAAGTGCAGGCAGATGGGCACTGTGTGTGTGGGGAAATGCAAGAGAGACTTGGCCCTTCCCTCAAGGAACTTACCAAAGTGTTTTTCCCAGGACCAGCATTTTAAGTGTCTCCAGAAACTTGTTAGAAATGCAGATCCAGCCTCTTGCTCACTGAATCAGAAACTCTGGGTCCCGGGCTAGGCCCAGGTCTATCACTGTGTGCACCAACATGATCAGGCCCTCCAGATGATTCTTTTGTGTTTGAAAGCTCCCAGGTGAGGAAGTCTCAGACCTGGAAGCAGTGAAGAAAGATGTCTCTGCCTGTCCCATGTGTAGCTCCTTTACAATCTCCTAGCCAGTTAAGAGTGCTAGGCTGGGTGCTTTGCCACCACTCACAGCAGAGTTTGCCCTTGGGTGCATGTGGATGAGTGGTTTACTAGCTGCCATGGCTTCATTTTCTTATTTTTCTACACAGGAAATTAGGAATGGCTGGCCAGAAGCTGGGCTCCTCTGCTCTCCTGTGCTACATCCGCCCTGACACTGCTGATCCAACAAGTAGTTTTAGCTTGACAGTGGCCAATGTTGGTACATGCCAGGCAGTCCTATGCCGAGGTGGGAAGCCAGTGCCCCTGTCTAAAGTCTTCAGCCTGGAGCAGGACCCAGAGGAGGCACAAAGGGTGAAGGACCAAAAAGCCATCGTAACAGAGGTGCGTCTCGCGCTCTTTAAGTCACTTTCCCTCCCCCAGATGTAGTTTGAGTAGAGGCAGGAAAGGTGTTTTCTTCCTCTCATGCTTTATAAATTGTGCTTCCCACCCTCACCTCAGTTCATATGGCTTCAATAATAGTGTTAAAGTCTTCTGGGCTGGGTGTGGTGGCACAGGCCTTTAATCCCGTCATTTGGGGAGTAGAGGCATGCCGATCTCTGTGAGTTCCAGGCCAGCCAGGCCTACATAGTAAGACCTTGTCTTTTTTAAAAGAAGACAGTCTACTAAGTGACTAGCAGAAAAAAAAGAAAATGAAAGAAAGCAAAAGCAGGGATAAAAAGTTGCCATTAGTGATTTTTTGAGTGGCTGGCAAGGGAGGTAAATGTGTCCCCTAAGGCGCTCCCCGCAGCTCATTAGGTTTTCTTATTCTAAAGAGGAAAAAGACCTGCATGCTGACTTTGAAAGCAAAGTCTCCAGCCTCAGTAGACTGCTCCTGCCTGTGTTCTAGTGTTCTCTTTGCCACAAAGCATTGAGCAGCTGCAATTTTACAGATTTTTTTTCCTTTTTAGAAATTAGCATAGCTGTTCACTTTTCCAAATTAGTTATATGTGAACATGGTTTACTGCAAAGAATAATTCAGACCCCCTGTCCTCTTAGATTGGATTGCTTTTTGTTTATGACTGTATTAAGAGATTTCTTTTGTATATTTTAGAAATAAGTCTTTTACCAGGTACTGTTTTGCAGCTATTTTCTGAGTCTGGGACTTCTCTTTCTAACAGTGCTTTCTGCAGAAAAGGTTTCTTTGTTTAGTTTTCATTTATTATTATTACTGTGTGTGTTGTGTGTATGAGGTTTGTGTGAGGGGGTAGAGCACACATGCCATGGTATGTGATTGGAGATCAGGGGACAACTTTCAAGAGTTGGTTCTTTCTTTTCCACCTTTATGTGGTTCCAGGGATCAAACTCTGGGCTCTAGCAAGTGCCTTTACCCACTGAGCTGTCTTGCAGGCTCCAGCTCTAAGTCTTGATGGGGTTTGTGTTGTGTGTGTGTGTGTGTGTGTGTGTGTGTGTGTGTGTGTCCAGTTATTCCAACATATTTTTTTTAAGAAAATGGCTGGAGAGATAGCTCAGAGATGGTTAAGAGCACTTAACTGCTCAATCATGAGGACCAGAGTTCAGTTCCAACCACATGGGAGCTCCAAGGAATCCGGTGCTCTCTTCTGGCCTCCTCAGGCACATGCAGACACATATGTGAATACATACATACATACAAATAAATAAATAAATAAATAAATAAATAAATAGGATAAGGGGCTAGAGAGATACTTTAGCAGTTAAAAGCACTGGCTGCGTTCCAGGCAAGCTGGTGCTACATAGTGAGACTTTGTCTCAAAAAACTGAAAGGGTGGGCTGGGCGTGGTGGTGCATGCCTTTAATCCCAGCACTCCAGAGGCAGGCAGATCTCTGTGCATTCAAGGCCAGCTTGCTCTACATAGTGAGTTCCAGGACAGCTGGGGCTACAGGGTGACCCTGTCTCAAAAAGACAAAAAAATAAATAAATAAATAAATAAAATCTAAAAGGGAGGCGCAGGTAGACTGTCCTCTCTCCCTTGTATTCCCTTTGCTTCTTGTCAGTGATCAGCTGATGGGATTTGTGTGAGTTCCTTTCTTGGCTATTGTATCAGGGTTCTCTACAGGTCCTCTGCATCTTAGATTCTGTCCAAGGAAGTACGTAATCAATAAGTATCATCACACTGTTGTTGACGCTGTTAAGATTCTGGAGTATGATGGTGTCAATCTGGGGTGTGTTATTCTTAGGAAGGTGATTCAGTTAAGACAGATGGAAGATAAAAGACTACTTTTATTTGAGTGGTCTATTTTTATAGATGACATTACAATTATGAAATATTATGTTTATTTTAATCACAAACATATATTAACTGTGTCTTCATAATTTTAGTTTAAACAATAACCCCCAAAAGAAGTGCTCTCTCTCTTTTTTTTTTTTTTTCCTTTTGAGACAGAGTCTCACTGTGTAGCCTAGGCTAACCTAGAACTCACTATATAAACCAGGCTGACCTCAATTCACAGATACCCACATGTATCTGCCTCCCAAGTGATACAGTTAAAGGCATGAACCACCATACCCTGCAAAAAGCATTTAAAAAAAATTTATTATTTTGATTTTATGTGTATATGTGTATTGCCTGCATATAGGTAAGTGCACCCGTGTCATGCAATGCCCGCGGAGGACAGAAGAGACTGTTGGATCCCTTGGGACTGGAGTTATGGACAGTTGTTAGCTGCCATGTGGGTGCTGGGATTCGAATCTGGGTCTTCTGTAAGAACAGTCAGTGTTCTTAACTGCGGAGCCATCTCTCCAGCCCCGCAAGAAGTACTTTTATTTTCATTTTATACATAAAGAAAGTTTACAATTTGTGACCAATTCTTATAAATGTTAAGCTAGAGTCTTCACTCAGAGACTAACTGCAGCTGTGAAATTAACTTATTGGTGACTTTAGAGCCTTTCTTTGTTTTTCTTGAAGAGGTATCAATATGAAAATGTTCAGTCTATGACTGTTCCCTGCCTACAGCCAGTAAGATTACTTTTCTTCTAAGTATAGTCTTACCTAAGCCTTATTTGATCTGCTGTCATTCTTGTTAGTCTCAGCAGAGTAGCTCAATTGTGGATATTCCAGACTCCTTTGAGACTGGAGTAACTTTGGAAATTAAAGCTCCAGTTCAGATTCTCTTCATCATTTGAAATCTATTCATTGGCATTGTGCCCTTAAGAGAGTAATCATTTTGGGGCTGGAGAGATGACTCCGTGGTTAAGAACACTGGCTGCTCTTACAGAGGACCCAGGTTTGGTTTCCAGCACCCACATTGCTCACAACCATCTAGAACTCCAGTTCTAGGGAATCAGTCCAACACCTTTCAGACATTGTGTGTACTTGGTGCATTTACATACTTGCAAGCAAAGCACTCATGCACATAAACATTTTTTTAGTTATAAAAAATGAGTAATCATTTTGAGTGACCCATCTGAGTTTTTGCCTTTCCAAAAATACAAGTGATGGGGAATTAATGACAGTTCTGTGATTTGTTTCTCAAACAACAACATTTCTCTGTTTAAGGGCATGCTGAGGCCCGTCCTTCCTTAGAACAAGAATCTTTTGCAGTGGTGCTGCTGGTTAGTCACTTTTTATAAGCTTACTCACACTGGTCCTAGGACAAATTATATGACATATAAATTCTATTTTGTTATAATTTGCTAAACTTTATGATTTAGGAAAATATCAAGCTGCATATCATTGTTTCTTTTTTTCTCAAAATTTGTGGGGATATTTTGCCTTTAGGACAACAAAGTGAATGGGGTAACCTGTTGTACCCGGATGCTCGGCTGCACATACCTCTATCCGTGGATTCTCCCCAAGCCTCATATATTTTCCACTCCACTCACTATTCAAGATGAATTGCTGATTCTTGGAAATAAAGCATTGTGGGAACACTTGTCATATACAGAAGCTGTCAGTGTAGTGCGTCATGTACAAGACCCATTAGCAGCTGCTAAGAAGCTGTGCACATTAGCACAGAGCTATGGCTGTCAGGACAACGTAGGGGCGATGGTAGTTTATTTGAACATTGGCGAGGAAGGCTGTACCTGCGAAATGAATGGGCTGACCCTCCCAGGCCCTGTGGGATTTGCTTCGACTGCCACCATCAAGGATGCCCCCAAACCAACTACTCCCTCCTCTAGTAGTGGGATTGCCTCAGAATTCAGCAGTGAGGTGTCCACCTCAGAGGTGAGCAGTGAAGTAGGCTCCACTGCTTCTGATGAGCATAACACTATGGGCCTGGAGGCTGGCTCGCTTCCCAGGCCAGAGAGGCGCTGCAGCCTCCACCCAGTACCCACCGCGGGGATTTTCCAGCGCCAGCCTTCTTGTGCGACTTTCTCCAGCAATCAGTCTGACAATGGTCTGGACAGTGATGATGACCAGCCTGTCGAAGGGGTCATAACCAATGGCAGCAAGGTGGAGGTAGAGGTGGACATCCACTGCTGCCGAGGAAGAGACCTTGAGAACTCCCCTACCCTCCTAGAGAAGTCTTCCACCGCATGTCCTGAGGAACATGCTAGAGGCTTGGTTTTTGGGATCCGAAGACAGAATAGTGTGAATAGTGGTATACTTTTGCCAGTGAACAGGGACAAGATGGAGTTACAGAAGTCTCCCTCTACCTCCTGTCTCTATGGAAAGAAACTCTCCAATGGCTCCATTGTGCCCCTGGAGGACAGCCTGAACCTCATTGAGGTGGCCACAGAAGCACCCAAGAGGAAAACCGGCTATTTTGCGGCCCCCACTCAACTGGAACCAGAGGATCAGTTTGTTGTGCCTCGTGATCTGGAAGAAGAGGTGAAGGAGCAGATGAAGCAGCACCAGGAGAGTCGGCCTGAGCCCAGCGAAGAGGAGCGGACCGAGCCCCCAGAGGAGTTTGACACAGCACTGTGATTCTGCCCCTAGTGGTGCAGTGTGAGGGAGGGTTGTGTGGTGTTGGGGAGGGAGTTTCAGAAAATTCTTTGCCTCAGTGTTTCTAACCATACATGTGTGGAGTAGAATTTGGAGCCAAAAAGGGTGAGCACTATCAGAGTCTGGCTCTGGAGGTGCTAGTACCATCATCAGTGTTAAGCTTCACATTGAACCTGCATTGGAATTCCCAGAGGTACTGGGAAGAACAGATGGTGTTCTGTATCAGTCCTGCCACCTGCCATTAACCCTTTCTCTCCTAGGATCATTGAGAATTTGCCTGCCTGGGCAGGAAAGGGACTGTTTCTGTGGAGGAAGTAAGTGAAGGTTGATTCTGCTAATTGCTGCTGATGGATCTCTGTGACGAGAAGTCACCTTATTTCTCAGATGAACTAAGTTAGGGTGATGTGACTAGTCACATGGCTTTTTATTCTCTACGAGAATACAGCCTGTCAAAATGATGTAAACAGAACCAGTCAAACAGGTAGTTTATGTATGTAATGTTATGTAATGAGAGCACTTTTCATTGACTGTGAACTTTTTATTTTTGAATCTGCACTCGAGCCAATCTTCTTGGAGGCAGCCCAGCTCCTTTGTCCAGGTAGAGGTAATGGGTGTTGGAGCCTCCTTTGAGGGTACTTGGAGGGGCTTTGGAAGTTGATCTGACTGTTGTGTGTCACTGTGAAAGCCCCTGAGGAACTTGTAGTAGGGTTTTCTTCTGCGGGTGAAGATGCAAGGAGTGAGAGCTAAGACCAGTTCCCCCAGATTAGACAGAATTGGCCCTGGATATACTGACACCTGCTAGGAATTGTGATCTTAGCAGATCACAAAGCAGGCACTTGTGTTAGCTTCTTTCCCTGAGTGTGGTAGAGTTGGCAGTCAGCTTCTTGACACGTCAGGCCAAGGCTGGCTGGGAACAGATGGGCAGACAGCTCACAGATTAGACTTGCTTCTTTCTGAGGAGATGGTTTTCTAGAATGTTAGTAGTGAGTTGAATGCTTACTCTATAGTGTTTGACATTGTACCCTTCTGAACGCTGCTGATTCACCTGACTTGGTTTCAGATTACTAGGCTCAATACCAGAATAAGAAAGACTCTTAAATTGAGAAATTCTAAGCTTACAGAAAACCTGTCATTTTTTCCCCCCACGTTCCACATAGCCTTAGCAAACCATAGCTCCTTCTGTATTTCTGTTGCTTTTTCTCATTTGATTTACTTAGGAAAATTAATTCCTATCTATTTATGTAAATTTTAGCGTTGCTTGGAAAATGTGCTTTGAAGTTTTAGAATATTTCACAACTAAAAAGAAAATAGATTGGAACAATTTTTATTTGCTTCATCAGAAACAAAGTGTTAAATCTAAGATTGAAACCATGTATTGTTTTGGCGGGGGGGGGTGTATCAAAGCAATATTTTAAAAAGCCAGATGACCTATCCACAGATAATTCTGTCTCCAGAGGCCCTGTGCCCCTGTGCATGTGCCAATGGGGGGTACACCCAGTTGCTACGTAGTGTTCAACTCTCAAGATATGAACTTGAGCCCCCAAATTGTCAGGAACACTTAACCTCCTTCTGTGAAACTCCTGTCAATCACTGAAAAATGTTAGAACTCAGGTCTTTGATTTGAGGTGGGAACATAGTGGTTTTTACAGAGTTTCGGTACCAATAGAAAAGATGGGTAGGCATGTGTTGCCACCTTATTTTTATATGAGGAAAATGAAAAAAAAATGAGAAGGCAGGAAAAACAAGATGATGGTGATGGGATGTAAATCAGCTTTTAGCTGTAGAATGGTGGTGACATCTAAAAGTCAATTATTTTGGGAAATACCACCTTAATAGTATAGTCTTAGAGAAATTGTCTTTTTAAATGTGAACCATTTCCTTGTCCTGTTTGTTTACCACCATACTTATCTGAGTCACTCCAAAACCCAGTTCTGAAATGATCTTGACAAAAGTAAATATGTTTACTTTTTGGTTAGCAGAACTCTGCAGTTCCAAATGTACTTTGTCGTATTTTTTTTTTTTTTAATCCTTTCAGGAATCATTAGGTTGTATTGAAAAACCTCAGTATAGGCCAAACCAAAACTGAATTCTGGTTTTTTTTTTGTTTTTTTTTTTCAAGTTTCTTTCATGTCCAGGATCCTATCCCTGCTCTGTATTAAAACAGGGTTAAAAGGCCATAATAGCCCAGTCCCCAAAACATAACACACACCTCTTGTGGCTGTGAGATAACTTGCAAATGCTATGTTGTCTGAGTAGGCTGTCAGTGTTGGGAGAGATCTGTCTCCAGGTGAGTGTGATTCCTTACCCCCTTTACCCAGAGGGTATGTTCCCCAGGTGGGCAGAGCACAGGTTACTCTTCCTCAGGGTTCTGCTCTCTGCGTGATTCTTGTTCTACCTGTACCTCCCATTTAATAGGGAAATGTAAGAAAGGTTCTGAGGCTAGGCGTGGTGGCATAGTGGTGTGCACCTGTAAATCCCAGCACTTGAGAGGTGGAGGCAGGATGAGCAGGAGTTCAAGATCATTCTTGGCTACAGGAAAATTTCAAGGCTAGTCTGGGATACATGAGTCCCCTGCCTCAAAAAATAAAAACCAAACAGACTTTCTGAAGGGTGAACGCTCCAGGTTTTGGGTATAGTTCAGGAGTCTTACAGGGAAAGGAAAATATATGTGGCTTGCCAGCCAAGGTATTCTTATTTTATCCAAATGAATTAGATATATATCTGAAAATTTGAATGTTGATAAAGTTATAGTGCTATTTTAGGGTCCAGTTACTGAATAAACAATTCCTGACACAAGCGAGGATTTGATATACTACTGTAGAGTATGTATGTGCAATAAGTCAGTGAACTCATTTTCCTGGTGTACAGAAGAGCCGACCCGAGCAGCTTGGTAATCACTGGGTGCTATTACAGTTGTTTGTAGTGAGTGCTATTTTCCAGAATGGAGCTAGTTAGATTTGGCTGGTCTACTGACTGTCAAACAGAACTCTTCTTTCTGTGTAGACCTTCAGCAAAACAGGTACTAGGAAGCCACAGGCTCACCTTCTCTATCTGTTCAATATTTATTAATGAAGAGACCTCCATAAAGGAGCACTTGGCTGTTAACCAATCAATGTACCAATTACTAAAGAATCTGCCTCCAAGCCATTGGGTGATGTCTGCAGCATCACTCTAGATCTGTCTTGTGTCACTTTTTACTTCCTTCTGGGTGGAGCCTTTCAGACTCCCCAAGGCAAGTTAATCTTTCTCTCCAGTTAGGGACTTTGCCCCATTGGGCAAGCACTACCTAGACTGAGAAAAGCAGCTACAGTAAACCTGCTCTGTCCATTTGGTGATCAGCCAGTCAGCAGAAGCGCCTGTGTTCTGAGTCTCATGCACCTCTCCCAGATGCTATAGGGTTTCCTCTCACTGTTGCCAATGGATGTCATCCACACAGTGGACTCATATCTTATGGTTTTGTGCAATCATTGTCGTATTGTAGTCCTAAGACTCATTATAGTGTATTTTTGATATTTTTGAAATGTGTTAAATTTTTTAATTCAATAATATGAGCCAGAGCATGTTGCAGCAAATCTATTGTTTGTAAAAAAAAAATAAATAATAACAATAATAAATAAAATAAAATGGAATATCTTTTTCATGCCTTTGTTTCTTTTAAAGATTTATTCATTTGTGTGTGTACATGTGTATTGTGTGTATTTGCACGTGAATCCAATGCCTGCAGAAGCAGAAGAGGGTGTATGTGTGTGTGTATTATGTATATTTGCATGTGAATGCAGTGCCTGCAGAAGCCAGAAGAGGGCATCAGAGTTTCCTGGAGCTGAAGTTATAGGTAGCTGTGAACCACCTGACATGGATGCTGGGAACTAAACTCCAGTCCTCTGCAAAAGCAGCAGATGCTCTTAAACCACTGAACCATCAACTCTCTAGACCCTTGTGCCTTTGTTTTAGGAATATTTTATCATGAAGTGATAATTTTCTCTCCTTGTATACAGAATTAGGGTTTTTGCTAAAAGTGTTTGGAATTTTTCTGCTTTTCTTTTTTTTTTTTAAATATTTTCGGTGTATTAATGTATTGCCTGCATATAGGTAGGTGCACCCGTGTTGTGCAGTGTCTGTGGAGGTCAAAAGAGGGTTTTGGATCCCCTGGATCTGGAGTTATGTATGGTTGTTAGTCACCATGTGGGTGCTGGGAATTGAACCTGGGCCCTCTGCCAGAGCAGCCAGTGCTCCTAACTGCTGAGCCATCTCTCCAACCCCCCTTTTCTGCTTTTTATTGCTTTAGTGGGCTGGAGAGATGGCTCAGCGGTTAAGAGCACTGACTGCTCTTGCAGAGGACCTGGGTTCAATTCCCAGCACCCACATGGCGGCTACGAACTGTCCTTAACTCCAGTTCCAGGAGAATTCAAAGCCCTCTTCTGACCTCCGAGGCACTGCATGACATGGGTGCTCTCATATACACGCAGGCAATACACTCACATAAATAAAAACAATTTTTTTTTTTAAAGACAGGGTGTCCTTGTAGCCCCAGCTGGCCTGGAACTTGCTATGTAGACCAGGCTAGCTGCCATCTTCTAGAGGTCCATCTGCCTCCACTTCCTACATGGTGGGATTAAAGGCATGCATCACCACGCCCAGCATCACAAAACCTATTTTATGACTACGAAGCTGTGAATTAAGGCAAAGATAATTTTTTTCTTTATTCCTGATAATTTCATGCAGGTATACGATGAAATATGATCATATCTACATCCCCATTTCTCCCCTCCAACTTCCCCCATACACTCCAGCACGTTGCCCTTTCAACTTCATAGCATTTTAAAAAGTCCAGTTAGTGGTTCCCATATGTGCATGGGTGTGGAGCCATCCATCTGGAGCACAGCCACAGCTCCAAGAAGAATGTTGCTTCTTCCCCCAGCAAAAAATAATTTTGATCACTTTTTCTACTTAGCTTTGTGTCATTGTAACAAAATGTCTGACATAGGCAATTTATGAAGAGGAGGAAGTTTACTTAGGTCACAGTTTAGAGTGGAGATTCTAGGAGAGCAGCTTTTGGAGAGATTCACATGGAACAGCAGGGGCAGAAGGGGACACCTGCTTAGCTAGCTAGATCAGCCTAGTCAATTCTAGTGGTCGGTAGACCACTTATCAGTTGTGAACTTAAGTAGGATGGATTCAAATTGCAGCTTTGGTACCTTATAGTGATGTCCTGGGGCACACAGTAAGTCACTGCTGAGAAACCTGAGCTGGGCAAGCCTCTTGTCCTTCTTGAATGTTTTCTCTGTAACATGTGAATAAGTCTTGGGTGCCTGACAAGTAGTGACTCAAAGGCATTTCCAACACTGAACTCTGGACATGTAGCAGTGTTGTCAGTCACAGATGGGTTCTGCTCAGAAGAGGAGTTGCAGCTCAGGAGCAGTATTCAGCTGGGTACAAGACGGGTCAGATAAGCAAAGTCTGCTTTATTCAGCAAAAGACCCAAAGTGGGCAAAGATCTAAGAGTAACAAATCTCAAGAAACAAACTCTTAGAACTGTGTATAGGAGTGCTGTTCTCTTGGGTACATACTTGATTTTTGCTGTTGTTAAACTTCTCTATCACTTAGACTTTTGTGAGACACTAGTCAGTGCCTCAGGCCAGAGTGACTAGTAGAAGGAGACTGATTTCAACGAAACAATAGAAATTTCCAGGTGGTTATTTCTCTTCAACTTGACTTTCTCATTTCTGTATGAGGTTTGTTTTATGATTGTTTTAGTTTTTGAGACAGGCTCTCATGATGTAGCCCTGGCTGACCTGGAACTCCCCATGTGAACCAGACTGGTTTCAAACTCAAGAGATCCACCTTCCTTGTGTACCCAGTGCTGGGACTAAAGGTGTTACACCCCCGCCCCCCAGTGAAGTTTACTCTTGAAACTTAAGACAGGCCCCACAAGAATTGCCAATTGAAAAGCAAAAGGGCAGTTAGAAAAAGACCTTCATAATGAGAATATATTTCCAGTTGAACTGACACATCTGAAATCAGTTGCAAGATATAAAAAACAGGTGGAAAGCACTTGAGATGAAAATTACAGAAGGACTTTATTTTTAAGATCAGTCTTAGAAAGCTGGTACATTATGAAGACAGTTTGAAGCCACTGAGAAATTACCCATCTCCCTCTGAAACCCTCCAGGGCTCTGTAAGGGAATGGAAGAATGAAGATGCCACCAAGCCACCTATAGAGTCTAGTGCAAGTAACTGCTTTGTCTTTGAATAAATCACATGAACACATCTATGACGTTTATGAATTTTCTTATCTTGAAGAATTTTTTTTTTTTCTTTTTGGTCTTTTTGAGACAGGGTCTCCCTGTAGCCCCAGCTGGTCTGGAACTCACAGAGATCCTCCTGCCTCTGCCTTCATGTTTTTGTTTTTACATTTTTTCATTTCATTAGTGTGTGTGTGTGTGTCCATGTGTGCACGTGTGCGTGTATGTGCACATGTATACATGCTGTTACATGCATGTGGAGGTTACAGGACAACCCTCGTGAGTCCATTCTCTCCTTCCACTATGTGGGTGGGTTATCAGCTTATTGGCAGGTACCTTTACCCACTGAGTCAACGCTCCAGCCATTGAAGACTCAGGTTTTTTTTTTTATCATAAAATATTTCAAAAATGAATTCCAATGGATGACACCACACACACACACGAGAGAGAGAGAGAGAGAGAGAGAGAGAGAGAGAGAGAGAGAGAGAGAAAACAAACCAACTTGGGACATGTAGTGGAAAACATTTTCCCCTGGGCCCTGAGGTAGGAATCCTGAAGAGGATGGTACTAAAAGCATCTCTCTTCGAGCTTCTCAGGACCACAGTGGTATCCTCTCTAACAGCAGAGTCCTTCCCTCTGGGAGGGACAGAGAACACAGTCCCTCATAT